TTACTCGGAGCAGCAAAAGCCACTACTACTCGAGGTGATCTGCAACGGGCGACGCCTCCAGGCACTGGTGGACAGTGGTGCGTCCCACTCGGTGTGCGACCGCGGGACGTTGGAGAAAATTGGAGAATCTTCGGAGGAGACCAAGTTCAAGGCAACGATGGTGGACGGTACGAAACTTCCCATCCACGGCGAAGCATCACTGCAGCTGCACATAGGGGCGCTAAGGTGGAAGCCGACGTTGCCGATCTCGAACATCAAGGGATTAGATTTCATCTTGGGGCGAGATTTCCTAAAGCAGTTCAACCCCGAGATCGACTGGGTCAACAGGAAGGCGTGCATCTACAACAACGGGAAACGAGTGGAGCTGCGAAGCTGGACGGATACAGGGAACGTTCCTGAACGACACTGGCACGGTTCAAATGGACGATGAATGAGAGTAACATGGGCTACTTAGCACTGGTTATGGCAGCACCAGAGGAGGAGAAGCCGACCATAGAGCTACCTGCAGCAGTGAAGGAGGTCTTGGAGCAGTACAAAGATATAATGCCCGATGACCTACCCGCAGGCGTACCTCCAGCGCGCACCCACGAGCACGAGATCGTGGAGGAACCAGGTGCGAAACCTGTCTCACGTGCACCATACCGACTGAGTCCGACCGAACTGACAGACATGAAGAAGCAGATAGAGTATCTACTGGACAGACAACTGATCCGCCCATCCACCTCTCCCTACGGTGCACCAGTTCTCTTCACTCCAAAACCAGACAGCAATTTACGGATGTGCATCGACTACCGCGCACTGAATAAACAGACAGTTAAAAACAAATACCCCATACCGCGCATAGACGACCTACTGGACCAACTGCGTGGTGCAACAGTATTTTTGAAGCTGGACCTACGGTCGTGTTACTGGCAGATCAAGATGGCAGACAACTCGGTCCACAAGACGGCGTTCCGTACCAGATACGGCTCCTACGAATACTTGGTGATGCCGTTCGGACTCTGCAACGCACCAGCAACGTTTCAGGCGGAGATGAATCACATCTTACGACCCCTGCTGGACGAGTGCGTAGTGGTGTACCTGGACGACATTCTTATCTACTCCAATAACATGAAGGAGCACGTAGAGCATCTGCGGAAGGTGTTCGAGATCTTGCGGAGAAACATGTTCTACGTGAAGCTGTCGAAGAGCGACTTCGCCCTGAAAAAGGTGCAGTTTCTCGGGCACATGGTGAGTGCTGAGGGCGTACACGTGGACCCGCGGAAGATCGAAGCCGTCAAGAAGTGGAAAGTACCGGAGAACGTGAAGGAGTTGCAGCAGTTCCTAGGCTTCGCCAACTATTGCAACAGGTTCGTGCCGCAGTACGCTAAGACAGCAGCGCCACTGACCGACCTACTGAAAAAGGATACGCCCTACAAATGGGATACCCCTCATTAGCAAGCCATGGAGCAGCTACAGACAGCACTGGCTACAGCACCAGTACTCATCCTACCGGACCCAGACAGGACTACGTGGTGGAAGCAGACGCTAGTGACCAAGCAGTCGGAGTAGTATTGATGCAGGATCACGGACGCGGTTTGAAGCCCATCGCCTACCTCAGTAAGAAGCTACACGGAGCAGATGTGAACTACCCCATCCATGATAAGGAAGCCTTAGCGATAAGTATTACTACTGGCCCGGGATGGCAGCAGACGTGCAGCAGTTCGTCACCTCATGCGACACGTGCCAGCGGATAAAGAGTAGCAAGCAGAAAAAAGCAGGGTTACTTCAGCCTCTACCCGTACCGGAGCAGCCATGGCAGGTCGTTAGTCTCGACTTCATCACGGGACTTCCTTCGACCTCACGAGGGCATGATGCTATACTCGTGGTGGTCGACAAGTTCTCTAAAATGGGTCACTTCATTCCGACCAACGCCACAGCTAGAGCTGAAGCAACTGCTCGCCTCTTCTTCGACCGCATCATCACCATCCACGGAATCCCCGCTACACTCATCTCAGACAGAGACCCCAAATTCACGAGTAAGTTCTGGAAGGAGCTCATGGGACTGTTCGGGACTCAACTTGCGATATCTTCAGCATACCACACCCAGACTGACGGACAGACAGAGCGACTCAATCAAATGGTTGAACAGTTACTACGCACAGCTTGCAAAGACGACGTCAGCTACTGGAACACACAATTACCGACCCTAGAGTTCGCTTACAACAACGCGTCACATGCGGCCACAGGGAAAACTCCTTTCTTCCTGTGTTACGGACGGGAACCACTCACACCCCAGCAACCAATCACACCGGCACACGTCCAAGCCGCACATGACTTCGTCACCACCATGCAGCAGCTACGGGAGAAGACTCAGCGGCGTCTCACCACGATGCAGAACTCCCAGAAGCAGTATGCCGATCGACAACGACGTGATCACTCAGTAGCAGCCGGAGATCAGGTGCTTCTTGACACACGTAACTTGAACCTGTCTCACCTACCTTCCAAGCTCTGGCCTCGCTTCTGTGGTCCTTTTCTCGTTGAGGCACAGCTGACACCAGCAACATTCTGCTTGCGCTTTCCTACTACGTGGAAGCTTCACAATGCTTTCCATGTTCAGCTACTGAAGCCCTACAAGGACCCCAACCAACAGTTCCAGGGACGGCAGCTACCGCCACCACCACCTGTTCTCATACAGGATGAACCCGAGTACGAAGTAGAGCGCGTTCTCACTCATCGGTGCCACGGCGGCAAGACCCTCGAGTTCTTGATACGCTGGAAGGGATACGACCCCACTGAGGACAGTTGGGTTGCAGAAGCTGATATGGGCAACGCACGCCGTGCTCTCAAGGACTATCTTGTCAAGCAGGGTGTTTCTCACGCCACCCAGCTTTGAGGGGGGGACGTGTGAGAGTACGACGGCTTATGCTGGCTTTGCTAGCTTACCTGGACTTTATTATGCTATATCTAGCTTGGGTTTTATTTATCATGCATAGATATGCTTGATTTCCTAGGTTAGGTGCATTCCTATATTTTATTATAGTTATAGCACCGAACCAGGTTGCGTGTACCGAACTCAAGCCTATTCGGTTTCCACCTAATTGCTTTTTACTGAGTTCGGAAAGGTTCTGTTCGGGGCGCTTCGCGACCCTCACAACATTCGCGTAACACCTGGGTAACTGGCCTTGTGTCGAGACTATATATAGCCTCGTGTTGTACCCAGGTGAATCATTCAATTCAAACTCTCTTTTCTGAGCTCGATCCTAGATCCTCACATTGACAAGGAAGTCAGAGAGGAGTTTGTGGAGGAGGTGATGGAGCTGGTGGAGCTTGATAGTCTGCGCGACGCCATGGTGGGGCTGCCGAGGGTCAATGGGCTCTCCACGGAGCAGCGCAAGCGCCTCACCATCGCCGTCGAGCTCGTTGCCAACCCCTCCATTATCTTTCTCGACGAGCGGGCTGGATGCGCGGGCGGTGGCCATTGTCATGCGCACCGTGGTGTGCACCATTCACCAGCCCAGCATCGACATCTTCGAGGCCTTTTATGAGGTAAGTTGGAGCACATGTGGGTGGGGGTAAAGTGTGGGAGAGTTGTAAAGTGTGGGTAACTTGTAAAGTGTGGGAGAATTATTAAGTGTGGGTAACGTGTAATGTGTGGGAGAGTTGTTAAGTGTGGGTAACTTGTAATGGGTGGGAGAGTTGTAAAGTGTGGGTAACTTGTAATGTGTGGGAGAGTTGTAAAGTGTGGGTAACTTGTAATGTGTGGGAGAGTTGTACAGTGTGGGTAACTTGTAATGTGTGGGAGAGTTGTAAAGTGTGGGTAACTTGTCATGTGTGGGAGAGTTGTAAAGTGTGGGTAACTTGTATTGTGTGGGAGAGTTGTAAAGTGTGGGTAACTTGGATTGTGTGGGAGAGTTGTAAAGTGTGGGTAACTTGTACTGTGTGGGTTGCTCATGCTGCTCATGCTGGACTGCACACTGCACTTTCCCTGCCATGCGCAGCCCCAGCATTGTTGTTCACTGCATGAGTTCTCATGGCTGAATCCATGCTGCATCACTTCTCACCTCGATTTTTCTCTCACCAACCTCAGCCTTTCTTCAATCACTCTGCACTGCCAGCCCGCCTAGCTTGCTCCATGCACAGCCCGCTCATCCCCCCTCCCCCTCTTCTTTCCTCCCTCTGCCCCTCGCTCCCTCCCATGACCCCTTCCAACTACAGCTGGGTGATGTGACAACAACGCTGCAGGTGCTAGGGGTGACCCCGGACCCAACGGTGCAGGTGTATCTGGAGCAGGTGTTTGGCTACCAGCACTCGTGGCTTGGCTATGTTGTGCTCGTGAATATCGGATTTATCATCCTCTTTTTTACCGTCTTCGCTTTCTCAATCAAGAAGCTTAACTTCCAAAACCGCTAATGTTGTACTGCAAAGAAGTGTGTTTTGTTGTGTTTTATTTGTTTCATTTTTTCCCTTCTTTTGAGACTTGGGGGTTTTGTTGAGTTGTCAGCCGAAACGTACCGTGAGGCGTGCACTGTATTGCACAACCTTTACATGCTTCTCTACTCTGGAGACAATGCCTCTCTTTGAAAAGGCACACAGGAAAACAAAGCATGGGATGGGATGCTTGCTACCGTAACATTACAGTAAATAACAAAAGCACACAAAATCCACACTGAATACAACCCAACCTCAGCTCTGTTTCACAGGGCTTAGAAAAGCAAGCACGCACTAGCAAACATGATCTCCCGCGCTTCTTCCTGTTCCAAGCCCTATGGAACGCATCCTCTGCCTTCAGAGCAGGCAGAACTACAACCCCACACATGCCTCCACCCACCACCAACCTTCCAAAACAAAATGTCATGCGATGCGATGCAAGCGAGAAGCATGCGATGCGATGCGAACTCTCTCATGCTCACAACAGTATTCCTTGCTCTATCCAGCCAATACCCCCCTGACCCCTCCGCTCTCACTACTCTAGCCTCGTCCCCTCGTCTCCCACTTAATCCCACTCCCCCCCCCCCCAACTAGTCATCATCCTCATCCCTGCCGTTGCGCAGGCACTGCCCCAGAGGCACGCGCCTGCCCGGCCTGCCCATGCGCCCCATGCCCAGCGCGCAGTTCACTCCCTGCACCGCCCCCCCCGTGCACCGGAAGGCATCGGGGCGCGTCACGGCTGCTGCCTGCCCCCACCCCCTGCCCACTCGCAGCACCAGCGCCGCGCTGCCCTGGCTTGCCTTCACCAGCCGCCCTGACCCTGCCCCCGCCGCACAGGCGAACTGCGGGCGCGAGAGTGGGGTTTGGGAGAGAGGGGCGAGAGGTTGGGGAGAGAGTGGGTTTGGAAAGGAGAGAGGTGGGCAATGGGGGAGAGAACAGGGCGAGGGATTGTTGTCAGAAAAAGAGCGGCACACAAACAAAGGTGCTTGCAAAGTGGTGTTGAATGTACGCCAGTGGTGCTTGCTTCTCACCTTGTAGTTCTTGCCGCGCGCCTGCATGCGGGAGTAGGGGCGGGCACCCTTGACGACGTGCAGCAGCAGCTGCTCCCTCAGCATCAGCGGGTCCCCTCGCACTGAAGGGGGCAGCTGCCCCATGGGCGCGTCGGGGATGGCCAGCAGCGTCACCCCGCCCCCCTGCCCGCACATCACCTCCGGGAACTCCGCCGCCAGACCTGCCAGGGTGGGGCATGGTGGGGCACACGGGGATGGCAGGTGAGAGGGCAAGTGAGAGGGCAGGTGAGAGGGCAGGTGAGAGGGCAGGTGAGAGGGCAGGTGAGAGGGTCAGCAGCATCACTCTGCGTGCACACAACACATCCGCCAAATCCGCGGATGGTGTGAGGCATGGTGGGGCACATGGAAATGGCAGGTGAGATGGCAGGTGAGACAGGGAGAGGGAGAGGGAGAGGGAGAGGGAGAGGGAGAGGGAGAGGGAGAGGGAGAGGGATTGGGAGAGGGAGAGGGAGAGGGAGAGGGAGAGGGAGAGGGAGAGGGAGAGGGAGAGGGACAGGGCCAGCAGTGGCGCACAGCGCACCTGTCTGCTGCAGCGCGGCTGCGAACTTGTTGAATCCGCACTTCCTCAATCCGCTCATCAGCTTCCCCGCCTGCTTCGCCCCGTCACACGCCTGAACGTCCACGTCAGCAGCCGCCACGTCAGCAGCCACCAAAGCATTCGCGCTCGCCATCACTGCGTTCTTCCGCCCGCTGCCGTCGCAACTCGCGCTGCCGCTCTTGTTGCAAGTCCCCGTGCCTTTCTTCCCCTGATTCCCCCTCCCAGCGCCATTGCCGCCGCGACCAGCGGGGTTACCGCCGTTCTTGTTGCCGGTGCACGTGCCGGATTTGGCGCACGAGCCGTCGCGCTTCCTGTCGCGGTCCTGGTTGCCCGTGCCGTCCCGCTTGCGATCCTGATTGTCGGCAACCGCGAGGCCCACGAGGAGCATTGCGAGGACGGCTATAACGAGGATGTTCTTCGATGCCATGGCTGTTCACGTCGGTTCAAGCGGTATAAGGAACACCGAGAATTTCGACTGACTGAATACGAAATGGAAGCTTGAGCAATTTGAAGCGACTGAAAAACGTTGTTTGAAGTCTCTGCTAACTCCGAATTCGACATGCATTTTGTAGGCACGCGCTCAAGGGCGCGCTTTGCTTTCGAATCGCGGAGGTATGAACAGGACACGAGACGGATTGGCCTAGACTTGTCGCCGTCGAGGCGCAAGCGGTTCGGGAAGAGAATGGTCCCGCAAACGACAACGCTTCAGGCGAAAAGAGAGAGCGACTAGCGGCAGGTAATACAGTGGCGGAAGGAAGTCGACTGCGAAGCTACCCCTAGACCAGTTTACACAAATGGAAGGTGGAGGCGGAATAGCGAGCTGACTGGATGGGTCACACCTAAACATGGAAGGATTCCATGAAGCCCCTCCCAGCGAGGAATCAGCGAGGAATCAGCATGGAATCTTATGTGACAAAATTTTGTAGCTAAACAGCTATGCCCATCGTAATAATCTTTGGGACAGGTCGTTACAGGTTATCTTGATTTTTTTTTTTTCGCTTGTACTAAATGGCATTCCATCCACTACATCCTTGCAAGACGATTCCAGTCAATGTTTACACTATCTGTATTGTCAATGATTCCAATGACTGCGGCCTGGCATGAAATTTGAGCATATGATCTCATAGTAGAATACTGCAAGCTAATGAACGAAAATCTTGTGACTGTCTTGTCTACCGTATTCCCCACAGCACAAGGGTATATAATTATTAGCCTAACGTACGGACCAAAGCAGCTCCCATCCGCAGCCCACTTACAGCATCATCACTATTCATATAAGGAAGGCTCAACGGTTTTGGAAGTTGAGCTTCTTGAGCGCGTAAGCGAAGACGGTAAAGAAGAGGATGATGAATCCGATGTTCACAAGCACCACGTAGCCGAGCCACGAGTGCTGGTAGCCAAACACCTGCTCCAGATACACCTGCACCGTTGGGTCCGGGGTCACCCCTGGCACCTGCAGGGTCGTCGTCACATCTCCCAGCTGCGACCAAAAGGAGAGGAAGAGGCAGAATGGGAAGAGAGGGATGGAAGGAAGGGGGTTAATGAGGGTGCCTTGGGGCTGATAGAAGGAACAAGCATTTAGTAAAGGATCATAGCTGGTGCTATGGAGGGGCGACTCAAGGGAGGCAGTGGGTGTGGAGTGTGGAAGAGAGGGGTGCAGGTGAGCAGTGAAGAGCAACACAGGGATTGCACATGCAGGGCAGGGAAAGAGCGTGTAGTGAGCAGTACGAGCAGCATGAGCAGCATGGCCCAGCATGCGCAGCAGGACACCGGAAAACAGGAACAAGGATGAGCAAGAACAGCATGGGTGCAGAATGTGGGCGAGGGTTGTTACCTGCGAGGCGTTGAGGCCATAGAGGGTCCACGAGACAGGGTTGATCCAGTAGAACCACCGCCACCACACCGGGATTTGCTGCAGCACAGGCAAGCAGTACCAGAGGGAATGAGTGATTGAGTGAACTTGGCTTTTAAATAAAGGACCGGGCAGAGCAGCAACAGTACTGAAAAAGTGTAGCAGCCAAAATATGGCAGGCAAGACACAGCAGCAAAACAGCAGGCAAGGTGGATGCACAGGGGAGGGCAAAGAGGCAATACGAAACAGAGGAAAGTACTCACAGGTCGGGTGATGAGGAAGCCGCAGAGAAGGTTCCAGAAGGAGAAGAAGAAGCCCGAGATGACCATGGCGAGCTGCTCGTTGGGCGAGATGGCGATGGCCATGAGGCCGTAGCACGTGAAGTAGAAGAGCGTGAGGTACATGAAGAGCGTGTACCACCAGAACTTGCCGGCCGTCCACTCAAACTGGATCATCGCGTACGTGATCAGCGAGTAGATGAACGTCTGCACCAACACATATGGGACTTCAATCGCTCCCTGCGCCAGGGCGTACGGCACGGCCCCATACAGCCCTGCGGCGCGCTCGCGGTAGAAGACGGTGCGCTCGATGGCCACAATGGGCTGCACGGAAGCAGCGTTGTTCCACCCCATGAAGAGCGAGGCCGTGTACATGGCGCCCATCACGTTCAGCACCTGCTGCTGCGTGCTGCGCTGCTTGCCGAGTCCAAAGAACACCCCACCGATGAGCAGCGCCATGATGACACAGAAGAAGTAGCGGACGGCGTTGTAGTCCGGCGCCCGCCAGTACATGCGCGACCGCTTCCACAGATTCGCCACGAACTGAGAGACGTAGCTGGTGGAGAATTTCGTCGCGAAGGCGAGGTCCTGCTGGCCTGCCGGGGGCGTCTTGAGCGACTCGATGAGCTCCTCGTTGCGGCGGAACTGGTCCGACTTGCGGAAGATGTCGGCAAAATCTAGGTTGAGTTTCTCGGCCATGGCTGGGGTGGAGATGTCGAGCATCCACGTGGCTGGGTTGTAGCCGGCGCGGATGGGCGGCACGCCTGGGATGGCCTGGAAGTAGTCTATCATCAGCCGCGAGTCCGTGCCCAAGGGGCCCATGTATATCACCTCGCCTCCCCGCTTCATCAGCAGCAACTGTAGGGCAGAGGGGTGGGGGGATGGGAGGAGAAGAGAGGGAGGGAAGAATTAGAAAGGGAGGGAAAAAACACCATAGAATCAAGAAACAACACGAGAACAACACGAGAAAGGGAGGGGCTTGATGGAGAGTTCGATGGAAGTGCAAGTGAGAAATAAACTGATGCACTTCAGGGCCACCAACTTCCATCGCACGCACCTCATCAAAGGCCTCAAAGATGTCGATGCTAGGCTGGTGAATGGTGCACACCACGGTGCGCCCCGTGTCGACGGTGTTGCGCACGGTGCGCATCACAATGGCCGCCGCCCGTGCATCGAGCCCGCTGGTGGGCTCATCGAGGAAGATGATGGAGGGGTTGGCGACGAGTTCGACGGCGATGGTGAGGCGCTTGCGCTGCTCCGTGGAGAGCCCATTGACCCCCGGCAGCCCCACCATGGCGTCGCGCAGACTATCCAGCTCCACCAGCTCCATCACCTCCTCCACAAACTCCTCCCTCACCTCCACGTCCACATCAGCCGGCAGGCGCAGCCACGCGGAGAAGAGCAGGCTCTCGTGCACCGTCACCTGCGGCGTGTGAATGTCGCTCTGCTCGCAGTACCCCGCCACGCGTGCAAACGTCTCGTGCACCTTGGGGAACCCCGACACGCGCACGTCCCCCTCGATGTACCCCCCGGTCTTCCTCCCCGCCAGCACGTCCATCAGCGTCGTCTTGCCCGCGCCCGACACGCCCACCAGCGCTGTCAGCACTTTGGGGCGGAAGGCGCCCGACACGTTGCGCAGCAGCTGCAGGCGCGCGTCGGGGGGGGCGCCCTCGGCGCGCATCTCGGCGGGCATGTCGACGAAGTAGTTGACGTTGTGGAAGGAGAGCGAGTGCGGCGCGAACGGCAGCACCATGCCGTGCTTGCCCTCCGTGGACTCGGGCTGTGACTCCACATCTGCTAAGGGGGGGCACGGAGTGAGATGGGAAGAGGAAAAGAGAAGATGGGACGCGGATGGGTTGGTAAATGACAGGAATCAGAGAGATGGATCAGGAAACGCAGCGCGGGGCAAAGGAGAGACCCGTGCAGTGTCTATGATGCAGGTCACAATGCACTGTGGCAGTTTGAGTACCGCAGAGACGATCAAGAGCTGTGCTGGTGCCCTGGTCCTTGCCCTGCCTCATCCCTATCCAGCACCTCAAGAAGCTGTGTGACAGGTGCAGTAGCAGTCGACAGCACTGCTGGTGCCCCGCCCTTGCCCTGCCCCATCCTAACCTCGCACATCGAGAAGCTGTGTGACAGGTGCAGTAGCAGTCGACAGCACTGCTGGTGCCCTTGCCCTGCCACTAACCCCCAAAAACACCTGCGAACCCTTCCCAACCACTCACCTCTGGACCCGGTGTGGCTGGTGCAGTAGCGGTCGAGAGCGCTGCTGGTGCCCTTGCCCTGCCGTGTGGACCGCTTTCTGCTGCCGCCAGCCAAGCCCAGCACCTCGCCCGTGCGGGCGGCGTGCTTCGTCTCCAACTGCTCCTCCGACACCACCGGCTGGGGACGGCCCCACGCTGCACCAATGCAACAGATGGGGGTGACGGAGGGAGCGACAGAAACGCAAGAGATCCGGGTGACGCAGTGCTTACAGGGTGCCACCGGCATGGCACCCCGAGGTGTATCTTGGGCGTGATTTCAACAGCAGGTGCCGCAGCAGGTTGGGAATGAATGAGACACAGCAAGACGTGTAGAGCTTGTGATGGAGGTTAGCGAGGGTGAGGATGGTGAGGAGGTTCGATAGGAGGATGAAGGCAACGAGTGCGCAGGGAAGGGAAGATAGTGAGACATGTAGGGCTTACGATCGAGGTAGGCGAGAGATGGTGAGGAGGTTGAGAGACAGATGGAGGGGCTTAAAGCTTACGATCGAGGTAGGCGAGGGCGAGGATGGTGAGGACATTGAAAAGAATGATGAAGCCGATGAGCGCCGCCACACCGATGCCGCGCCAATTGTCATCCATGGCCAGCGAGCGGCTCTCCAGCAGCACCTGCCCCATGGTGGTTGTGGGGGGGAAGAGGGGGCCTGCGGACTGCACAGGCGTGCACACAGAGACAGGGGCGAGAGGAAGGAAGGAGGGAGGGGAGATACACATGAGCGGCTCTCCAGCAGTACTTGACCCATGGTGGCTGAGGGGGGGAAGAAGGGGCCTGCGGACTGCACACATACACAGAGACAGGGGGGAGAGGAACAGAGGAGGGAGGGGAGGTGGAATCCCTGAGCGGCTCTCCAGCAGCACGTGCCCCATGGAGGCCGTGGGGGGGAAGAGGGGGCCTGCGGCCTGCAGAGGGGCACACAGGGAGGAGGGGGGGGGTGCGGGTGGGAGGGGGGGGGGGGAGGGGAGACGGGATACATGAGCGGCTGTGTGGCAGCACGTGCCCCATGGCGGGTGAGGGGGGGAAGAGGGGGCGTGCGGAGTGCACATGTGGCACAGAGGAGAGGAGAGGGGTGATGAGCATACATGGGCATTGCAATTGCAGTTGGCTTACAGAGGGGGTGAGAGGGGACGAGGACGCTTGCTAGGTGCGTGCAAGCATGGGGAGTGTGGCATGCACGGCAAGTGTTGGGAAGATGGGGAGATGGGGGACACACACGAGTGCGTGCCAACAGTTGTGTGCATGAATGTGATGCGTGAGCACGCTGAGAGCCCTCTCAGGCGGGGAGTTTCGCATCCAAAGAGCAGAGAGGACAGGTCAGAGAGGCAGGCACTCACGAACCCCAATGAGACTCGAACCCCAGGAGCACTCACGACGTTCCAATCAGGGTGGGAACCGCATCTAGAAAGCAGAAAGCAGAGAGGCACTCACAACGTTCCAGCGGGGGGCGAGGAACTCGTTGACAGCGAGGGCGTTCTGGCCGTACATGAGAGGCGAGATCCAGTACGCCCAGATCCACACGTTGCTGATGTCGGCTGTGAATGGGGGGAGAGGGAGAGGAGGGATGTAAGGGCAGGGGAAGAGAGATTGAGTGGCCTTGCGGGCCGTACATGAGGGGCGAGAGCCAATACGCCCACATCCACACGTTGCTGATTTCCGCTGTAGGTGCGTGCAACAGACAAGGAAGAATGGTGGTGGGGGCAGGGTGCCACGGATGCCGAAAGAGTGGAAGATCGAATGGGAGGGGGGAGAGGGGCGAGAGAGAATATGAGAGGAGATGGGAGGTAATCCGAGGGGAGATGGGAGGTGATCTAAGGGGAGATGGGAGGTGATCTGAGGGGAGATGGGAGGTGATCTGAGGGGAGATGGGAGGTGATCTGAGGGGAGATGGGAGGTGATCTGAGGGGAGACGGACGGACGTTATGAGTTTTCAAAGCACGTGGTGCCTGTTGCCACATACACGCTGTACCGAAGCAACTTCCTGACTTGTTATAAGCTCACCCTTAGCGAGGACGAAGCCTCCGAGCAGGAAGAGCAGGATGAGAGCGAATGAGCCGAAGGTGTTGGAGACCACCATGCTGCGCCCCAGCGCTCCGATGAGACGGAATAGGGACATGGCGACTTGGTGGATGAGGAAGAAGAGCAACATCTGCATCAAGAACCTGTGAGGGACGGAGAGGGAAAGGGAGGGGTGGGAAGAAGGGAGGTGGTTGGGAAAGGGAAGAGCGATATGTCAACTTGACGGATGAGGAAGAACAGAAACATCTGCATGAAGAACCTGTGAGGGAGGGCGAGGGGACAGAGAAGAGGGCAGAGAAACAGGAAAGAGGGACGTTGCACGAGCAACGATGGTGGATGAGGAAGGAGAGTGGGAAAAAAACGGCAGTCACGCACGCGGAACGTTCGCCTACCTGCCCGGCTCGGAAAACGAAGCCGATGACATAGTAGGTGAGAGCCGTCCAGAGGATGGAGGCTCACACAGAGCAGGGCAGAAGCAAGCCCATCACTCTCCCTCTTGCACCTCTCACTGCTCACCTGCCCGGTTCAGGAGCGAAGCCGATGACGTAGTAGGTGACAGCCGTCCAGATGATGGAAGCCCAACCAGAGAAGGGCAGCGAGAGCAGCTCCATGGGCACCTCCCACGCCCACGCCGGGTAGAGAAACGCGTCCCTCTGCCGGTAGAAGATGGGCAGGCGCATCACGAGCAGCGTGAGCTCGGTGAAGCCGTTGAAGAGCATCATGATGAGGCCGAAGAACATGGCGCCGAGGTAGTAGTTGCCGTCTTGCAGGGAGACGGTGAGCGTGGTGCGGAAGAAGACGGTCATGGTGACGAGCGCGATGAGGATGATCTGGATGGTCTGCGCCACGTAGAGGAAGGCGTTGCGCTTCATGAGGAGCCACTCGCGCTCGAAGACCGCGCGGAACATCTCCGAGGTGGGCAGCGCGTTGCGCTGGTGGGCGAGTGCGCCTGGGGGGCTCTTTTCTTTTGGGTAGGGCACCTGGTGGGGGACGGGGTGGGGAGTGGAGGTTGGGGAATGAGGAGCGGGGGAATGAAGGGTGGGGATTGGAAAATTGTGGGAGCGAGATGGCAGGAGTGGGGAGAGTGTGGGGCTAAGGGACAAGTGTGGGGCTGAGGGGCAAGTGTGGGGCTAAGGGGCAAGTGTGGGGCTGAGGGGCAAGTGTGGGGCTGAGGGGCAAGTGTGGGGCTGAGGGGCAAGTGTGGGGCTGAGGGGCAAGTGTGGGGCTGAGGGGCAAGTGTGGGGCCGAGGGGCAAGTGTGGGGCTGAGGGGCAAGTGTGGGGCAGGGGCAAGTGTGGGGCTGAGGGGCAAGTGTGGGGCAGGGGCAAGTGTGGGGCTGAGGGGCAAGTGTGGGGCTGAGGGGCAAGTGTGGGGCTGAGGGGCAAGTGTGGGGCTGAGGGGCAAGTGTGGGGCTGAGGGGCAAGTGTGGGGCTGAGGGGCAAGAGCAACAAGAGAAAGATTACAGCACGTACCGAGAGGTGGGCAGCAGTGGCCTTGCCGATCTGCGTCTCCTTGAACGCCGCCTCAAACGCCTGCGCCGGCACATAGTGATACGGCTGACTGCCGCCGCCCACTCCCCCCTTCCAGTACTGCCCCTGGTCCTTCATAGAAGTCACCTCCTGCAGGAAATCCGCCTCGCCCTTCCTCTCGGGACACTCAAAGCCGAGCTGGTTGAAAAACGGCACGACCTGCTCTCGGGGCCCGTGGAAGACGACGTGGCCCTCGGAGAGCAGCAGCACGTCGTCAAAGAGCTCGTAGGTCTCGGGGGCGGGCTGGAGCAGCGCGACGAGCGTGGTGGCGGAGTGGAGGTGCGTGAGGTGGCGCAGGCAGCGCGTGATGAGGAAGGTGGTGGACGAGTCGAGCCCCGTGCTGATCTCGTCCATCAGCAGCACTTGCTTGGGGCCGACTAGAGACACGCCTGTGGTGACTCGCTTCTTCTGCCCGCCTGAGATGCCGCGCAGCATGTCGTTTCCCACCACTGTGTCTGCACAGATGTCCAGCCCGAGGATCTGGAGGGGCAGGGCAGGGGGAACGGAGAGGAGGGAGAAGTGGGAGGCAGATGGGTGTGTGCCGACTTGTGGCGTGTGAGGGACAGCTAAAAGCCGGAGATGCCGCGCACCCTGTTGTTGCCCACCACTGTGTCTGCACAGATGATCTGCCACAGGAAGAGGGAGGGCGGGGACGAGGGTTGGGGGTGCAGGTTGGCAAAGGGGTATGTTTACACAAACTTAAGTCCTCCAAGAAGGAGAAAAGGCTCCGTTGCCGGGATTTGAACCCGGGTCGCCTGGGTGAAAGCCAGGTATCCTAACCAGGCTGGACGACAACGGATGTTGTGTCATCCCAGATGTCCAGACCAAGGGGCTGAGAAGAGAGTGGGGGAGAAGCTGAGGTGGGGGAGAAGCTGAGGTGGGGGAGAAGCTGAGGTGGGGGAGAATCACTGTCATTATCGTTATTCCCATCACACCACCCCACCACACCCACCTTGAGCGCATAGTCCGTGATCACGTTGGTGGGGTTGCCCTCATCACGACCCCTTCCATCCCTAGAACCGAGAACCATAACCATTACCATCACTAGTTCCATCAGCAGCACCAGCACCAGCACCATCCCATCACCCACCACCGCCTCACCTTGAGCACATAGTCCGTGATGACGTTGGTGGGATTGCCCTCCAGCGCCATCGCCTGCAGGGGGGAAGAGCAACGAGAGGGCGAGTGAGAGATATGAGGCACAAAATCTCAGTAACTAACTAGGAATTGGAAACACTTTAGATGCCAGATGGAGAGGGAAGAGCCAAGGATCTCGACGCGTGCACAGGCAGAGAAGCTGAAAGTTTTCTCCAAGCGACCAAGCATCACAGAGCATGGTCTGTACCAATCCGCGAGGTAAACACTTGAGCCCACACTCTGAACCCCGAGTTCCAAACCCAAAACCGGAACCCGGATATCAAACCAAAACCCCGAACCTAAAAACCCTGAACCCTACCTTCATGATGGCGTCCATAGTGGGATCCGGCACGATGCCCTGCTCCGCCTCGCGCTTCTCCAGCTCCGCCACTAGGTCTGCGCCACCAGGGGGCCGGGGGGGAAGAAGGGGAACGGCGATAAGGGGGAAGGGTGGAATGGCGAAAGGTCAGTGGGGGAAAGTCGGAAAGTGTAAAGAGGGGAAGAGGAAGGAAGTGGAGAGAGAAGACCACCGGAACTTGAAGATAGGCAAACAGACAAGGCACGTCCGAGCGCCCAAACCCCTGTTTTTTAAACCTCAAAACCCCCCGCACGCGCAAACACGCACCTTTCCGAAGGCCCACCCCCTCACAGCCCCCCAACAGGCGCACATGCGCACCTTTCCTGAGCCCCGGGCCCTGCAGGCGCGCGGAGAAGTCGAGGGTCCGCGGCGCGCGCTGACACCCACGTTCCTTTCTAACACAACCCCACACACACGTCTCAACCCACCTTTCCTGAGCCCCGGGCCCTGCAGGCGCGCGGAGAAGTCGAGGGTCTCTCGGACGGTCATCTCGCCGATGTGCTCGTCGTTCTGCGGCACGTACACTGCCGTGCGCTCCGGTACGAACTCGTTAAGAGCATGCCCGTTATAGGTCACGCTGCCAGATACCTGTGTGGGAATATGAGGAGCGAAGGGAAGGGAGGGAATGGACGTCGAAGGAAGAGGAGTGAAGGGGAGGAAAAGGGTAAGGGGAGCGCACAGGGCATTGAGCCTCAGTGGACGACACCCAAACTCACTCATACAAGGTGTAAAACAAAAAAAAACATAACAAACAAACATGTTTTCACCTTCTCAATTCCGTTACAAGGCTTGTTCCACATCCCCGTTACAAGCCCCACGCACCTTGAGCGACTTGTCATGGCAGCCCGCGAGCGCCTGCATGAGAGTGGACTTGCCGGAGCCTGGCGGCCCCAGCAGCAGCGTCATGCGGCCCGGCCGCAACACGCCCGAGCACCCGTGCAGGATCGGATACGGGCGGCGCGAGTCCGGCACCACGCGCAGCGACCGCAGCGCCGCCTGAAGGGGATTGGAGGCAAGGCGGGACGGGAGGCAAAGCGGAGCGGATAGCAAGGCGGAGGCTTTGAAGTTAAGTCCACGATCGGAGGGGGTTCAGGAAATGAAACGCGGAGCGGAGACACACGGGCGGCCACGAAAAGCGAGTGTCGCAGAGGGAAATTGGGGCCGAGGGAGTCTTGCGTCAAGAGCGCAACTCACGGCGAGCGAGTTGCGCGTGAAGTTGAGGAGCGTGGGCAGCGCGCGCGTGCCGACATACACGCCCGCCTCGACGTGCACGTCCTCGAAGCGCACCTCCACCGCCGGCACGGCCAGCCCCACGCTGCTCGCCATTGAATGACATTGGGCGGCGCGGTTCGGAGGAGCAGGGAAAGGGGGAAGGGAAGGCAGGGGAGAAGAGGGGAGGGGAGGGGAGAAGAGGGGATGGAGGGGATGGAGAAGAGGGGATCGAGCCCAAAACTGCTGCCATGTCCGTTTCCCGTACTTTCCCTGAAGCGGTAGAAGCTTCGTACAATCTCACTTCTTTCTGTCTCCTTCGCAGTCCGCCAACAACGCGACATGGACACAGGGTTTCTTGGCAATTGTCCGACTCTATCCCACCGCCTCGCGCACGCGCATAATTTCGCGCTATTCCCCGCTGGAACCTCACCGGTCGAGGCGGGCTTTAAGCTTCGTAAGGAACGCCTCGTTGTCCTGGTCGAGCGTCTCCAGCGCGCGCTCCACCAGCCGCTCCCGCTGCGCGTGGCTCAGCGCGCGCAAGTCCACTTGCGCCAGCCCCGCCTCCCCTTCCTTTCCGCCGTCCGCCAGCGCGCCCGCGCCCAGCGTGCTTCCGCCCTTGGGGAGCACCGCCGTGTGCAGGCGGTCGGACGGGGGGAGCTGCTGCAGCTGCGCCCATGCCGCGGGGTCCGCCGCCGCAGGATCGTGTTTGCCTGTGACGAGCGCGAGGAAAGGTAATAGATGGAGACAAAAATTAGCACGACTAATTCAGTAGGTGAAATCAAACACGTGGGGATTGAGTGGTCTTGGAATCAGAGTATACGTTAGCGTACACTAAACCTCTCAAAAACTTCGAAGGCTTCGCAATCATGGTGCACAAACGATAACTTGCAGCAATGCAAGCGGAAACGCACCGACAGGAATGTCGCCCGGCATGGCGACTGCTGTCACAGGGAAGAGCAGGAGTAGTTGCAGCCGCCAATCGCAGAGGGTTCCTAGTAGAAGTCTCAAAAATTGCAAGAAAGTGGAGTCAACTCAAGCAAGAGCTTGAAGTTGTAAGCTGTGATGATGGCCAGTGGCCACAGGGAGGGAAGGGAAGTGTGCGCTTCGCGGCAAGTGAAGGGGAGTGTTGAAAAGAGCTGCTGTAACCAGCTTTCGGATTGTGGCGAATGATCTGATGGGCCTATCAAGAAGCACGAAACCGTTGTGTGGACGACTAGCGATATCGCCGCGCGAAGGGCCGACAAGGAAATCCCTCGTTACGTGTAGTTTCGGAAACTCGATGTTGGTTGTGGTGACAAAAGTGTGAGATAGAGGGCAGTTTGGCGGTGGTTCTTGTATGGGCGAGCAAAGCAGAGCCACCAATGCCAACGTATCCTGGGCTCACGGAATTTCTAAAAACGAGAAAGGCATCCGACGTGGCCCTTCCTAAGCGGCGGTGGTGTCAGCAAGTGTGGCCTTGAAGCTGCGACGTAGTTGCCTTACAGCCGATACGCAACAAACCTGTATCGCGATTCGCGAATCTCCATGACATCATGCTGCCACACTGTTCAATGATTTGAAGTTTCCGATAGTCGGGACTCGGAAGTTGCCAAAATCGTCTTGATGACGCCAGCAGCCCCTTGGGCGTTGAGGTGCATGCCCATTCAAAAAAGGGCGTGAGTCACTACCTCACAAACTTTTCAGGCTAATCGCGCTGGCGTACCAGTTTCGCAAACCATTTCCACAATGTGCTTCACGCATCGCAGAACTGGGCGAGGCAGCTTGAGTTTCACTGTTTCGTGGAAATGCGCATATAAAATCTGGCGTGAAATTTGAGAAATCTTCCCGGCTTTGCCAGCGCAATAAGCTAACCGACGGAGGTGATAGCTCCGGACCAATTTTTGAAACCACTCTGTGATACCCGAGTTTCTCATTGCCAGTGACATACATACCCGTCGGGCTGGTTGGCTTCGGGGCACTACCACAATTGAACAATGTTCGCGCTATAGTGAGTCTGAAAACCAATATCTCACTTGAAACCGCTATATTCCCTACACATATCTACCACTAGAAATCTGGAGTTCCCCTCCGTCCATTGGGTCAGCCACTGGACCAAGAAAATCAGTAGGCATGAGGTGAGTAAATTTAAAGCCAGCAGGCAAAATAGTGACCCCCCCCTTCTAGTTGGGTCCACTTGAAGATGAAGTATTTTTGTTTTGTTTTGGAATGTTGAAATTGCTGTATGTGTGCTTTTTTTTCCGACCCTCGGACGAGTTTCTTATTGGACCAGGAACGATAGTTCATTGTCAATTCTGATTGGCAGCCAAGTTCTCTCACATGTACATGTGCGAATTTGGCGCAAAGTTGAGCGACGAGCACTCCTGCATTCACTAGAGCCAATACTTCACCAAATTCACAACTAGCAACATCTCACGCTAAATCCCAAGCAGACACACATGTACGTGATGAGAGTGAAAGTGTTTGAACGTTATTAGAGCTAGTAGAGCTCTGATCAATGTGCTGCCTTGGACTTGAGGCCTGGGAGAGGTGCAATAACGGGAAACAGAAGAGAAAAACAGCACTAGGGGGGAAATTATGATGGGCAAGGTGACGCGAATGAAGGGAAAGAGGGAGGGCGACAGGAAACGGGAGGGCGACGGGAAGGGAGGGCGTAGGAAACGGGAGGGCGACGGAAGAAGGGGGGCGACGGGAAACGGGAGGGCGACGGGAAACGGGAGGGCGACGGGAAACGCGAGGGCGACGGGAAACGGGAGGGCGACGGGAAACGGGAGGGCGACGGAAAACGGGAGGGCGACGGGAAACGGGAGGGCGGGAAACGCGAGGGCGACGGGAAAAGGGAGGGTGACGGAAGAAGGGAGGGCGACGGGAAACGGGAGGGCGACGGGAAACCGGAGGGCGACGGGAAACGCGAGGGCGACGGGAAACGTGAGGCCGACGGGAAAAGGGAGGGCGACGGGAAACGGGAGGGGGGCGGGAAACGGGAGGGCGACGGGAAACGGGAGGGCGACGGGAGAGAGGATAGGCGGCGGGAGAGAGGGTGTCGAGAATAGATGGAAAGACAGAAAAAACAAACAAACCAAACACAATAACAGAGTACGGAAAGGGTCACGCTGACGCGATAGCAGAGGGAGAACGAGAGAGGCGACGGAGAAAGGAGGGCATACGTGATGGGAGAGTCGAAGGTCGCCGGGAGGGCTATTCGAGGCGAGCGAGAAGGGAGGATGGGAAGGGAGCAGAAAGAGAGAGGGCAATGGGAAGGGAGCGGAGAGAGAGAGCGCGACGGGAAGGGAGCGGAGAGAGAGCGCGATTCGAAGGGAGGAGCGAGAGAGAGGGCGGAGCGGAGAGAGAGAACGCGATGGGAAGGGAGGGGCGAGAGAGAGGGCGACGGGAAGGGCGCGGAGAGAGAGAGCGCGACGGGTAGGAGGGGCGAGAGAGAGGGCGACGGGAAGGGAGCGGAGAGAGAGATCGCGACGGGAAGGGAGGGGCGAGAGAGAGGGCGATGGGAAGGGAGCGGAGAGAGAGAGCGCGACGGGAAGGGAGGGGCGAGAGAGAGGGCGACGGGAAGGGAGCGGAGAGAGAGAGCGCGACGGGAAGGGAGGGGCGAGAGAGAGGGCGACGGGAAGGGAGCGGAGAGAGAGAGCGCGACGGGAAGGGAGCGGAGAGAGAGGCCGACGGGAAGGGAGCGGAGAGAGAGCGCGATTCGAAGGAGGAGCGAGAGAGAGGGCGGAACGGAGAGAGAGAGAGCGATGGGAAGGGAGGGGCGAGAGAGAGGGCGACGGGAAGGGCGCGGAGAGAGAGAGCGCGACGGGAAGGGAGGGGCGAGAGAGAGGGCGACGGGAAGGGAGCGGAGAGAGAGAGCGCGACGGGGCGAGCGACGGGAGGGCGATCGGTAGGGAGGGGCGAGAGAGAGGCCGACGGGAGGAGAGGAGGGGAGAGAGGGCGACGAAGAGGGCGACGGGACGGGCGACGAGATGGCGACGTGACGCGCGACGGAAAGGGAGACGGGTGGGCGATTTGGCGAACTCGAGGATAGCATAGTGGGCGATGAGAGGGGTGAGAGGAATGGCGACGGGAATGGGGTTCTCTGTGATCGCGAGGAAAATATCACTACGCAGCAACGGCGACGAAGTATCACAAACAATCTAATGATAATTTCATTTCTATGCCGCATCAGCCTAATCCCTCGTCTCTGGCTATTCTATGCTAGGCAAGCTCCGTGAGTTAGGCAAGCTACGTGAATGGAGTTGAAGTAAGCATATGTGGAACCCAGGCCCAGCTTGAAAGTCGAAGTCGGGTCCAACCATCGAAACGCACGACAAACAACTGTCGTGCAAATGTCGCATGCAGAAAATGCGAACGCGCGAGCACGATCTGATTTTTTTTTTTTTGGCGGGAACGAATCACGTGTGTTCAGTCTGTGGAAGGGCGATGCCCGGAACAGTGTTTTACACAGCCCATCGTCGTTCCAGTTTTGCTTCTTCCGAGCACGATTTCAAGTTGGATCCGCCTTCACTATTTTATATTTCGGTTTTAACCTCAAGTGCGTATTGTACGAACCCAGTTGACTTCAATTGCAAAATATCCATTCAGCCTCCAATCACCTACCGTTATTTTGAAGTGTCAAACAGCCTTCATCTAGATCATCGGTTGCTGCTAACTCTCTTGGTTCAGTTATTGGTGGTTGTAATGGTACTGCTGCTGCAACTAGTGTTACTGGTGGGGTAGTGATGCTGCAGAGAATGTTGCAGCATGTGGCAGTGGGGGTGTGCGCCGCAAACAATGTGACATTGCTAGGTCATTTGCACAGAGGATCGATGTGTTCATATGAACAACGTAATGGAATGGCATGGCATGGCCCACTTACAAAAGTCCAAGAATAGAGCGTGCTGCTAAAGAATGTGAAACTGTGCCCCTCATATAAGACAATCCCACTAATCACTCCATATTAGAAAACACCTTCTCAGTTGAGTGACACCAATTTCCTGGCAGCTTCTGCTATCTCTGCATCTGTTCCGGCACCGCCCTTCACTAGGCTCTCCAGACGCTCCCAGGCAAACCGTGCCTTGAGATCCCTGGAGGAGAGGAAGGGAGGGGTAGGGTTCACAGGCAATGTGCGGCCATGCGGGGAATGGGAGGCCATGCGGGGAATGGGAGGCCATGCGGGGAATGGGAGGCCATGCGGGGAATGTGAGGCCACGCTGGGAATGTGAGGCCATGCGGGGAATGTGAGGCCATGCGGGGAATGTGAGGCCATGCGGGGAATGTGAGGCCATGCGGGGAATGTGAGGCCATGCGGGGAATGTGAGGCCATGCGGGGAATGTGAGGCCATGCGGGGAATGTGAGGCCATGCGGGGAATGTGAGGCCATGCGGGGAATGTTGTGATCAGGGCTCCAAATTGGTGATGGAGCAGGCTGGAAAATCAGACTGTCAGGCAACTCTACACTGAAAACAAAACTCTGATCCACCAGTAAGAAGCCTGGAAGAGACACGAAACGGTTAAAAAGGCAGCAATGTCAAAGCATTCAGCAGATTGGAGGCATGGGAGGGGCCTGTGCGGAGTCCCACTAGTGACTCAGGCAGTTGAGCGACTGGCAGTGCAGTGAGGGTGACTGGGGTACCTGGCTGACTGGCGCAGGGCGGGGTGGTAGTGCTCCCCGTCGATGATGTCCGCTATGCTCACCCACCTGGTGCATAAGAGGGGGGTGCGGTGCAGACAGGAGATGCAAAGGAGTGAGTCACTTTGAATGAGGGGCGATGAGGCACGGAGGGATGGTAGTGCTCTCTGTCGACGATGTCGTATATGCTCACCCACCTGGTGCATGGGAGGAGGAATGGGTGAAAGAGAGAGCGGAGATGCAAAGTGCAGAGTCTGTGCGGGATGGTAGTGCTTCCCTTGATGATGTAAGCTATGCCCACTCATGTATGAACCGGAGGAGGGAGGGGTGCTTGGAAAGGAGGGAGGGGAGATGGTTAAGAGGTGAAGACGGCAGGGTCTGACTGGTTAAAAAAACGAGTGGACGGAGCAAGCCAAGACAAAGCAAACGTAACACGGACAGGCAGGCAGTGGATTCAATGTAGCACCAGGTGAACTCACATAAATAAATTGATGTGGCCACTTTCAATTCACAAGCTCACTTTTCACGTGTATATACTGCAGTAATCGAATCAAAGATGCAACTCACTTGGAATCACTGTACTCCTCCTCGTCCAGTTTGATAGCAGCTGCCTGGTCAGCCCCAATCGCCACCGTGAACACTCCGCTGATGTCACACGTGCCGTTCTCCACAGGCGCCTGCACGCGCCGATACCACCAGTACGAGTGCACGCTCAGGAACCGCACTGCACCGGGCTCCACCGTGACGCCCAGCTCTCGGCTCAGCAGGCGCACCACGCTGTCCTCTGGCTTCTCCCCCGGCCGCATGCGCCCCCCCATGAACCTGCAAGGGAGGAGAGTAGTGTGGGAGGAAAAAAGGTGTTTTCGCAAGTCGTGGGAGAAAAGGGAGGAACAAGGGTTGGGACTGGCAACAGAGCAGCGCACGCCTCCCCCGGCCACATGCGGCCCCCAATGAACCTGGCGAGGGGGAGAGAGGAACAGGGGTCTAGGCAGGCAGCAGCAGCACGATTGCTCTGAAGTCTAGGCTGGTCCGGTCCCATGCGACCCCGTGTGCCCCTGGTGGACAGCGGACAGCACTTCGCGTGTCATGTGGTTGACGCTCTGAGACGGCTGGCGGGACGGATTGGGAAGGTGTGGGTGGAGGGTGGGGCAGCAGCAGGGCACGTGGGGTTGTGAGAAACGGAGGGCAGAAGAGGCAGGAGTAGCCGGGTGGACACAGGTGGTGAAGCCCGTGAGAGGGGTTGGGATGGGTGCAGAGGGTACCAAGCAAGCGCACATGAGTGCCGTGGCAGAGAGTGGGCAATGGAATCGATGGGATGAATGAGTTTCGGCCGTTCCTTGAGTTGAGTTGCGTTGAGGCACCTCAGAGCTTCAATCAGATTAAGGCATGCTTCAATCAGATCAAGGCATGCTTCAATCAGAACAAGGCATGCTTCAATCAGATCAAGGCATGCTTCAATCAGATCAAGGCATGCTTCAATCAGATCAAGGCATGCTTCAATCAGATCAAGGCATGCTTCAATCAGATCAAGGCATGCTTCAATCAGAACAAGGCATGCTTCAATCAGATCAAGGCATGCTTCAATCAGATCAAGGCATGCTTCAATCAGATCAAGGCATGCTTCAATCAGATCAAGGCATGCTTCAATCAGATCAAGGCATGCTTCAATCAGAACAAGGCATGCTTCAATCAGAACAAGGCATGCTTCAATCAGATCAAGGCATGCTTCAATCAGAACAAGGCATGCTTCAATCAGATCAAGGCATGCTTCAATCAGATCAAGGCATGCTTCAATCAGATCAAGGCATGCTTCAATCAGATCAAGGCATGCTTCAATCAGAACAAGGCATGCTTCAATCAGATCAAGGCATGCTTCAATCAGAACAAGGCATGCTTCAATCAGATCAAGGCATGCTTCAATCAGAACAAGGCATGCTTCAATCAGATCAAGGCATGCTTCAATCAGATCAAGGCATGCTTCAATCAGATCAAGGCATGCTTCAATCAGATCAAGGCATGCTTCAATCAGATCAAGGCATGCTTCAATCAGATCAAGGCATGCTTCAATCAGATCAAGGCATGCTTCAATCAGATCGAGGCATGCTTCAATCAGATCGAGGCATGCTTCAATCAGATCGAGGCATGCTTCAATCAGATCAAGGCATGCTTCAATCAGATCAAGGCATGCTTCAATCAGATCAAGGCATGCTTCAATCAGATCAAGGCATGCTTCAATCAGATCAAGGCATGCTTCAATCAGATCAAGGCATGCTTCAATCAGATCAAGGCATGCTTCAATCAGATCAAGGCATGCTTCAATCAGATCAAGGCATGCTTCAATCAGATCAAGGCATGCTTCAATCAGATCAAGGCATGCTTCAATCAGATCAAGGCATGCTTCAATCAGATCAAGGCATGCTTCAATCAGATCAAGGCATGCTTCAATCAGATCAAGGCATGCTTCAATCAGATCAAGGCATGCTTCAATCAGATCAAGGCATGCTTCAGTCAGATCAAGGCATGCTTCAATCAGATCAAGGCATGCTTCAATCAGATCAAGGCATGCTTTAATCAGATCAAGGCATGCTTCAATCAGATCAAGGCATGCTTCAATCAGATCAAGGCATGCTTCAATCAGATCAAGGCATGCTTCAATCAGATCAAGGCATGCTTCAATCAGATCAAGGCATGCTTCAATCAGATCAAGGCATGCTTCAATCAGATCAAGGCATGCTTCAATCAGATCAAGGCATGCTTCAACTGGCCCATCGCCCCACCACTGACTGCATCACCCGCAGTCAGCCACACCACACCCCTGGGTTCACCACCAACCGAACCCACTAAAACCGCACTGGACCGCACCCCACTGCTCACCACCAGTCGGGCTGCGGCTCCACCTTGCGCTTCCCCAGCAGTACTCTGCAGTTCTCGGAGCTGTCTGTATCGAGGATGAAGAAGTCCGCGCACGCCTTGACCAGGCAGTCCAGCGCGCGCCCGTACTCCGCGTCCGCCAGGAACACCCCCGGCGATTTGTAGTTACCCGTTTCAAAGTGGGGTATGGTGCGCTTGTACCCCGCCATTTTGGGGGGTGAGTGTGCGGCTGGTGCGGGGGAGGCGGGGAGGGACGGAGAGAGGGGCGTAGAGGGGCGGAGAGGGATGGGAGGAGAAATGAGAGCGCAACCTCACCAACTAGACCAGCGCCCTGCCTTGTCGTGATCTGCGTGGAGCATTGGTGGCGATCGATCGTCAGTGCGGCGTGGCGCTCATGGGAAGAGGCGTAACGAGGGGCAACGTGGGCCAGCGAGGCGCAGCGAGGTGCAACGAGGGGCAGCAGCGGCAGGGAGAGATGCAGGAGGCGAGCCGGCGGGGAGAGATGCAGGAGGCGAGCCGGCGGGGAGGGGCGCCGGGCGGGGAAGAGCGAGCGCGCAGCAGCGTAACAAGCAGAACGAAGAATTACCAGCAGAATAAGTTATTTCGGGACTAGAATGTGCGTTAAAGTGCGCGAGTAGCCAAAAGTGGTGTTGTTGAGATCGCTTCAGCCGTGAGTATCGCCTGCGTGGGAGGAAAGGAACTGGCTTGCTCTCAACTCAACATCTGATCATACTGCCCGATTGGTGAGCTTGGAAACTCGTTTGTGTGCGGCTATCCTCGTTAGCGTGCTGCTAACAAAATTGCGTTATTATATTCGCTCTCAACAAAGCAACTTTTGCGCAGCTCCCTAGCTACACAAGAAATAACCAACTTGAACGAAAATAAATGGTAAGAAACAAATGATTTGTCTTCTGCAAGGCTGATCCACCAATAAGAGGGCCAGAACATCACGTGTGCTGCGGCATGTCAACTCAATCCGCATACAGCAATCCTATCAGACTCAATACCTCTCATCACCACCACCATCCTCATCATCCTCGTCATAAAACCCTTCCTCCTCAAATTCCTCCTCCTGATAGTCCCCCTCATCCTCCACATACCCCCCAGCAGCACCCATTCCTGACCCTCCACCTCCTCCACCTCCCCATTCCCCTCCCCCCTTGTCATGCCCTGCCCCTCTCCCACCTCCACCCATCACCTCCCTCTTCCCTCTCCCTCCTCTCCCACCCCCGCCTCGCCCCCCCTTCTCTCCCCCTCCCCCTCTCCCTCTTCCCCTGCCCCTGCCACGGCCCCTTCCCCCAGCTCTACCCTTAGCTTCCAAGGAAGGCGCAGAGGAGGAGGAGAGAGAATGAGGCCGGCGTTGCCCCAACGGCACATCCTCCATATAAGCATCCTCGTCTTCCTCACCATCTTCCTCCCTTCCATATTCACTGTACTCCTCGTTATAGTCACCCCTGGAATAGTCATCATTCCCATCGTCATCCTCATACCCCTCCTCATTCACACTCTCCCCATACCCACCCCTCGCACTCCCTGCACCATCAAACTCCTCCTCATCACCATACCCTGACACACCCTTGCCACCTCTCCCACCACCTCTCTCTCCCCTCCCCACTCCCCTCCCCACGCCTCTCCCTCCTCGTCTACCCCTTCCTCTTTCCCTCCCCACACCTCCCCCTTCCCCTCCACCACCACCACCTTCACCAGCAGCAGCACCATGAGCAGCAACAGGCGGCTCATCAGCGAGCGCCACGCCGTGGAAGTGTTTGAGGTGGAGGCGCAGCTTGTAGTCGTGGAAGTACCGCTTGCTGCACCCCGCCTCCCCGCACGCAAACACGCGCTCCGACTCCTCCAGCTTGCGCCGCCGCCGCCGCCTCTTCGGCCGCACCTCCTCCTGCTCCTCCTGCCCTCCCGGACCCTTCTTCACCCCTGCACCCTTTCCTCCCTTCCCTCCCTCCACTCCTCCCCCTCCCTCTCCCTCCTCGCCTCCCAATTCCTCCCGCCACGCCTCCTCCCCTCCCTCATCCTCCTCCTCTTCTCCACCGTACCCCTCCATGCCACCACCCTCCCCCATTGAATCCCCACCCCCCATGTCCTCCCCGAACCCATCACTCTCAGCACCAGCATCCAGCGCATCACTGCCCATGCCCCCATCATCCGCCCCCTCCTCCTCACTCCCCATTTCATCATACAGCGCGCCCTCCCCTTCCTCCTCCCCTTCCCCCTCGCCTAAGTCACTCGCCCCAGTGACCTCCTCCCCCTCGTTATAATCACCCTGCTCACTCTCCCTCTCCATGCCTTCCCCATCCTCCTCTGCTCCAAGCTCACCCCCATAACCACCCGCACCCCCACCATACCCGCCAGTGCCACGGGCATTCTCAGCATCACTCCATTCCCTTGTTGACCCACCTACCCCTCTCCCCCTCCCTCTCCCTCTCCCTCTGCCCCTCCCCACTCCCCTGCCTCTGCCTCTCCCCCTTCCCCTTCCTCTCCCTCTATAGCTCTCTGCCACGTCCCCCTCTCCTGCCTCCCCTCCTGCCTCCTCCCCTCTCCGCCCTCTCCCCCTCCCCCTTCCACGACCCCTGCCCCGCCCCCTCCCCCTCCCCCTCCCGCTGCCCTTACCCCAGGGTTCCCTCACCCCGCCTCCCTCTCCTGACTCTGAAATGGAATTCAGGAATCGCCCTCGCTTTGTCGCCATTCCCTTTTGCGATCCATCACCCACACTCCTCCTCTCCTCCCCATCCTCACTCTCCCCCTCCCCCTCCCCATCCCCCACCTCGTCGCCCTCCCCATCCCCCTCTGCCCCTTCCCCAAATCCCCTTCTCTCACCCTCAGTTCCCTCCTCCCCACCCTGACCCCAACTCTCTGACCCCCTCCCTTTCTCACTCGCTTTCTCCCTCCCCTCCTCACTCTCCCCCTCACTCCCCTCCTCTATTTCATCTCGCCTCCGTTTCCCTCCCTGTTGTACTTCTTCCCTCTCTTCATCTCCTCCCCTCTCACTCCCGTCTCCTGCCACCCCCTCCTCCTCTCGCTTCCTCCTCCCTCGCCCACCCTTTTCCTTGCTCCCTGCACTGCCCCCCTCACTCTTTCTCCCTTGCCCATCCCCCTCCTTCCGCCCCTCCCTCTCCGCCCTCCCCGCACCTTCGTCTTGCGACCCATCTGATCCCTCGCGCGCTGCAGACCGCTGCTGGGCCACAGGGGAAGAGGCGTAAAGGGAGAGGAGGGGGGAGGGGAAAGCGGGGAGGGGAGGGAGGGTGGAATCAAGGTACAAACCATCTGATGTCTCGCGCGCTGCAGACCACTGCTGGGCCCCGCACAGCAGAGAGGAGGGGGGCCAGGGGAGAGGACAAGAGGGGAGGGCGGAATGAAGCGAGGGGCAGGGCGGAATGAAGCAAGGGAAGGAAGACGAGAGAGCAGGGGAGGGGTGAGTGACGGCTGACGTGGCAGTCCTTGCTGCTGGGCGGAGCAGAGGCCACAAGCACAAGCACCGGGTGGAAGTGGGACAGACAGGGAGGAAAGGGGAAGGAGCTTCTGGAGATCAATACGATCGCGCATGTGGAAAAAAAAAAAGGTAAAACCCAAGCAAGAACAAAGGTGCGGTGCATACATGCTGCTGCGTGCTCTTGATATCTCCATGTGCCGACGCCAGGTGCATGCGCAGCTTGCTCCTCTGTTGTTGAGACTCGTTATAAGAGCCTCAAGTGTTGTGACTCGTTATAAGCATACCTGCTGCTGTTTATCGCCATGTGCCGACGCCAGGTGCATGCGCAGCTTGTTCTCATGTGCAAAGCGCTTGCCACACTCAAGGATGGGGCACGTGTGGTAGTTCTCCCCCGTGTGCGTGCGCATGTGAGAACGGCGGTTGAAATCCAGCGAGAATGCCTGTTGTGTTTGTGTGTATGCGTATGGTGGGGCCAAGAGGGGGAGCAGAGGTTAAGACGCAGGGGAGGATGGGGCACGTGTGGTGGTTCTCCTGGGTGTGCGGCATGTGTGGTGCTTCTCCTGGGTGTGCGGCATGTGTGGTGCTTCTCCTGGGTGTGCGGCATGTGTGGTGCTTCTCCTGGGTGTGCGGCATGTGTGGTGCTTCTCCTGGGTGTGCGGCATGTGTGGTGCTTCTCCTGGGTGTGCGGCATGTGTGGTGCTTCTCCTGGGTGTGCGGCATGTGTGCTGCATGTGTGCATGCATCGGGCAATGCAAAGGCGGATGAGTCGCAGTTGAGAATGAGACGGGTGAGGGGGCTCCAACCACCCCTCCTCTCCCTGGGTGAGGGGGCTCCAACCACCCCTCCTCTCCCTGGGCGAGGGGGCTCCAACCACCCCTCCTCTCCCTGGGCGAGGGGGCTCCAACCACCCCTCCTCTCCCTGGGCGAGGGGGCTCCAACCACCCCTCCTCTCCCTGGGTGAGGGGGCTCCAACCACCCCTCCTCTCCCTGGGCGAGGGGGCTCCAACCACCCCTCCTCTCCCTGGGTGAGGGGGCTCCAACCACCCCTCCTCTCCCTGGGCGAGGGGGCTCCAACCACCCCTCCTCTCCCTGGGTGAGGGGGCTCCAACCACCCCTCCTCTCCCTGGGTGAGGGGGCTCCAACCACCCCTCCTCTCCCTGGGCGAGGGGGCTCCAACCACCCCTCCTCTCCCTGGGTGTGTGTGTGCATGTGCAAACGGCCACTGGAACGATTCTTTAGTTGCCTTTCGAGGCGCCTTTTTAAGGCGCCTAAAAATGGTCCAACAGGAACGCCTGCTCAGCCATGCATGTGCGTCGCGCGACAAAGGGAAATGGATGGCACAGGTGAGGTGAGGAGGCAGAGGGGGAGATGTGAGGGACCTTTTGCAGGGTAGGGGGGAGCAGAGGGAAAGAAATTAGAAAGCAAGGGGGAAAGGGGGGCGGTTAGAGAGCAAGGAGGGAGCCCGAAACTGCATCCCCCAGACTTACCCTGCGAAGGAGAACACACCTTGCCGCACCCCTCATCACCTTGCCGCACCCCTCATCACCTTGCCGCACCCCTCATAGGGGCAGAAGAAGCGCTTCTCGCCCGTGTGGATGAGGAAGTGGCGCTTCAGCTTGCTGCTGTCCACAAACCGCTGCCATGCCATGCCATGCCATGCCATGCCATACATGGGCAAAGAGAGACGAAGGGGGGCACAGAGAGGGAGAACAAAGCGCTCTTGTCTTATAAAAGTGGAACGATGAACAAGTGGAGCTTCAGGCTTCAGCTTGCTGCTGTCCACAAACCGCTGCCATGCCATGGGCACAGAGAGAGGAAGAGAGGGCAAGAGAGAATGAGCCCGTCAGGCTGAAGCTGCCAGGTTGGATTGGACCCGTCAGGCTGAAGCTGCCAGGTTGGATTGGACCCGTCAGGCTGAAGCTGCCAGGTTGGATTGGACCCGTCAGGCTGAAGCTGCCAGGTTGGATTGGACCCGTCAGGCTGAAGCTGCCAGGTTGGATTGGACCCGTCAGGCTGTGGATCTGACGTTTCGTTTTGAGACCAGTGGGTCTAACATGTCAACTGCTTGCTAGCCATCAACACATGTCAACTGCTTGCTAGCCATCAACACATGTCAACTGCTTGCTAGCCATCAACACCTAAGATGAAATAGTGTAAACACAAGTCTCGCCCCTCCACGCGTCTCGCTCGTGTCACCCCGCTGAGTGTCGGTGAGGCGACTAGCGCGTGGTGAGGCGACTAGCGCGTGGTCATACCTGGCCAGTCTTTTAATGCCATGTGTGTGTGTGAATCTGGCAAATGATAGGTCATATATGCAAGGAATGTCTAGCGAAATGCCATATTGCACCACTTTAATGGGCACATCTCACCTTGCCGCACATCTCACCTTGCCGCACATCTCACCTTGCCGCCCATCTCACCTTGCCGCCCATCTCACCTTGCCGCCCATCTCACCTTGCCGCCCATCTCACCTTGCCGCCCATCTCACCTTGCCGCCCATCTCACCTTGCCGCCCATCTCACCTTGCCGCCCATCTCACCTTGCCGCAGCCCTCATAGTGGCACACGAACTGCCTCTCCCCATGCACGTTCGAGTGCTTCCTCAACCCCCCTGCATCCAGAAACGCCTTTCCGCACCCATCCACACCGCACACAAACGGCCCTCCACCCAACGGCCCACCAACCCCCCCACCAGCACCAGCAGCACCAGCAGAGGTGCCAGCAGCAGAGAGACCAAAGCCAAGGCCTATTCCTATGCTGCTGCCTCCCCCGCTTGCTGCTGCCGCCTGCTCCTCCCCCCCTGCTGCCCCTGCTGCACCTGCAGCACCACTCTGCACACCACCTGCACCGCTCTGCATGCCGCCCAACCCACTTGCACCAGGAATGGCGTTTGAGCTCGCAGCACCTGCTGCTGCTGCTGGGGAACCTGCAGGGGCCACTCCCGCCGTTGCTGCTGCGCCCATTCCACCCCACGACCCCCCTCCTCCCCTCCCCGCCTCCCCTACCACTGTTCCCCCTCCGCTCATCTGCATGCTCGCACTCCCCCCTCCCCCTGCCCCTCCACCTGCTGCTCCCCCTGCGCCTCCGCCTCCCCCGCCCCCTGGTAGTGCGCCCATGCCACCCGCCATGCTGCCATGGGCGGCAGCGGGCAGCTGCAGCATCGCCAGCCCCGGCATCGGCCCCCCTGCTGCTGCATGTGCGTGCCCCCCAGGCATTCCCCCTTGCCCCTGCCCCGCTTGCATTCCCCCTGGGAAAGGCAGAGAGCCGCCTGCATTCCCCTGCGCCACTGCCCCCTGGTTTTGCATTCCCTGCCCCAGCCCCAGCCCTAGCCCTAACCCCTGTCCCAACCCAAAACCCTGCCCCAGCCCTAGACCCTGTCCCTGCCCCTGCATGTGGCCCCCCTGCCCCGGCCCTTGTGGGATGGCTGGAGAGTGCGAGCGCGTGTCATGGGGCGGCCCTGATTGGCCCCCACTTGCCCCACCTGCTGCCCCGCCGCCCGCCATTCCTGACGGGCTGCCCGATGGCATGCCGCCGCGGGCGGCAAGGGCGGCAGCAGAGGGCGAGAGGTGGGCGGCGGAGGGCAGGGAGAGGCGGAAGATGGTCGGTCCGCCGCCCGAGAGAGAGGTGGGGGCGGCGACAGGGGCGAGAGGAGAGGGCGTTCTCAACGCTGCTCCTGCTGCTGCTGCTGCTCCTGCTGGCGTTGCTGGTGGTGGAGTTGCTGCAAGGGGAGAGCCCCACAGGGTGGGGTCAGCTCCTCCCCCTTGCCCGCCCTGCCCCTGCCCTCCCTGCCATGGCCCTGCCTGCCCCTGCATGCCCCCTCCAGGCGCAGGGGGCATTTGCTGCTGCTGCTGGCCCCCCATCTGCCCCGGCTGCTGCAGCTGCCGCTGCAGCTGCATTTGCATCTGCCCCATCTGCTGCACCTGCCCGGCCTGCCCGTTCACCTGCCCGTAGCCAAAAGTGGGCATCTGCTGAGAGTAGGAGCCCCCATAGGAAGAGGGGGCATTGGAAAGGTTGGGCATGGGCGGCACATGGGACATGCTGGGCATGTTGGGCAGGTTGGGCAGATTTGGAATGTTTGCCATATTTGGCATGTTTGCCATTTGGGGAAGGTTCAGATTGGGCATGTGGGGAAGGTTCGGCATGTGGGTGACCTGAGGCATGTTAGAGAGGCGAGGGGGAGGCGGGTAGTAACCAGGGGAGGCGTTATTTCCCATATAGCCCATACCCATGCCCATACCAGCCCCACCAGAGGCACCAGCAGCGCCACTCGCGCCCTGCCACGTGGCACCACGAGGGGTAGCGTTGGCAGGCGATTGGGGGAAGCCGGGGAAGGGGCCTGGCGCGCGGGAGGATGAGGCGGAGGTAGGGGGAGGGGTGGCGGAGGAAGCAGGGGGGAAAGGGGGCGGGGGGAAGGGGCGCAGGTGTGGCATGTGCAGCTGGAAGGGCGAGGCGGACCTGGGCGCGCTGGCAGGAGGGGGGTCTGGCGCCTCTGGGGGGATGGGAATACGTGGAAGGGGAGGGGGGAGAGAGGGGGGGAGAAGGGGAGAAAGGGGAGGGGGAAAGGGCAGTAAATGGGGCGGGAAGGGACAGAAGGATCCGGGCATGGAGAGGCAGTTGCTCGCATCTTGACAACAGCGGGAGGGCGAGAAGAGGAACAGGTGACGGGTGGAGCAGGGGTATGGCTGGCAGGTAGTGGTACTATCACTGTGCGCGGGTAGGTAGTGCACTGTGTGTGTGAATGCGGTTGACTCACGTTTGACCCATTTGACTCACGTTTGACCCGTTTGACTCACGTTTGACCCATTTAAGTACTTTGCACTTGCCGTTGTTGAGAACCGTCTCCTGCACCACCCTGTAACGCGGATGGAGGGAGGCACAGTGCGCCGAGCACAAAAAAGCGTATCAGTTTAAATAATGGGAGAAGGGCGTATAAAGGGAGCAGATCAGGGCGAGCAGGTAAAGGGCACGGGGGCGGCAACGCGGGCGGCAAGGACGAGAGAAGACGATAGAGCACACACACACACTCACAAGTCACAAATTTGGTGCCACGAGTCAACTCACCACTGGCGGACCCATTTCGCTGCAGGCTTGCGCGTGGAGACGGGCAGCGGATGCGGCGGAACGGAGAGCGGATACGGCGGGGCGGAGAATGGGTGAGGGGCGGAAAGCGGGCGTGGCGCAAAGTTGGCGGGAGGCGGGGGGGAGGGAGCAGCCGGGGGAGGGGTGTATGGTAACTGCGGGGGAGGCGGAGAGGCGGGGATGAGCGGAGGCGCGGCGGAAAGGAAGGACCGCGGCTGTGAGGCCATGGCTGCGGGAGCGTGAAACCCAAAGTACAGGTGCGCTTAGAAGCGCTTGAATGCGATGCGCTAAGATGTGCCACTACACGTTCGTTACCCGTTACAGTCACTGCCTCTTAAAGCATGCTATGCGCGTGAAGCGTTTCGTTTGAATGCTTTCAGCGCCCTACAAGCACAGCGACAGGTCAGCCTGACTTGTGATTGGCCGATTCGTTAGTCGGTCGCGCGGAACGACGGCATGCACGAGCGCACAGCCACAGGCAGGGTCGATCAGGACGACTGAAAGGCATGCGCTCCAAGTAGCCGTTGGGAACGCGCACGCGAACTCTCGGTTTGGACGAGTCATGTAAATTATTAGGGGTAGGACCGATTACCTCTGGGTGGAGCGGAATGAACCTAAACCCCGCTCACACGCCGCCATGCATGGCTGCTGACACCTGTGATCTTGCGTTCGTTTCGCGTGTTGAACTAGGTTCGACCCCATGGAACAGAAGTATGCTGGCGCGAAGCAGATGAGAGAAACTAGATCGTGAGCGGTTTGGGAACGAGGGGTAAAACGAGATTCGCGAAATTCAAGCTCCTCCCTATATCCTCTCTGCATTCCGTAACCTTGAGTCCCTGAATTCGCGAATTGCACCTGCGAAGAAGCTCGATGCGAGTTTCATTTGTCGCGTCTCGAAACACGGAACGAAACCACCCCGAATAAAAAATGCCATTTGTTTTCCAGCTGAGTCTCACTGTTGTCACGCATCCGTCTGCTCCTGCTTATGAGGCTACCTCGAAACGCACACACCACTTCGCATGGGGGCCTGAAGACAGCGATATTGCCGGCGGCTATTCGACGCGAGACGAGGATTATTTCCATAGCCGCGCCGGCAGTTATCATTTCCAGTTGGCCTCATCGTAGCCTCGCGATGCCGTTAGAGAGTCCTCCAAGGGGCTGCGCGATGTCGTCAGACTGACAAGGCAGGCAACTCTTGTTCTCAAAGGCGTCGCATTGCCACGTGTCCCAATCAAACGACTGCAATTGCCAACCCTTTTCACAACATGCTAACACCGCTCCTCCTTATACCGCCTTCTAGTGCTCCCCACTTGTACGCCTCCTACCAGTACCTCGTTAGAACCGCGTCCTCCTATTACCGCTACTAGGAGTGTCGTTCCTAGCATCTCCCACTGCCTCGCTTCCGCCTCGCCTATCTGCGTACGCGTCTTAGACCTCCTCGTTACACAAACAATGGCTGCTGCCGAAGCCGTTGACCTTGCTGCACCTGCTAGTGGCGAGTGTCCTTGTATCGAGGACAACGCACCTGACGACTGGCGATGGGCGGCTCAGTGCATGATTTGGCGGATGGAGCCTCCTACGGCTGTAATTGAATGTGCCACGTAAGCGACCAATCAGCGTTCGGCATCCATTCCCTCATTTGTTGGCTGACCTACGTTCATCCCTGTGACACGATGCCGCATGGAGCGTTGGTGGGTGTGAGACCTCCAACAGCCCGTGCCGTATGGCACCCCTTACGCGCCGACCTTGCCTTATCGCGGCGCTCCTTCCATGTGCTCATGTGCTCATGTGCTCATGTGCTCATGTGCTTACCTCGCATGGCATCAAAGGGCGTGGTGTGGCATAGCATTGCATGCGGTATGGTGTGATGTGAGATGGCATTTTGTCGCGTGCCGTGACTTGGCATCAATCAACATGTCATGCCTTGTATCTGCATGGCATCGCATGGCATGGCATGCCGTCCCATGTCACCCATGCCATTCCGCGCCATCCTATGCCATCTCCCCGCCATCCGATGCTGTCACGTCGCATGCCATGGCACCCCATGGTGCAGGAGAGGATCTGAAGGCAACCTGACAGAGGCCGTGCAGCAGCAGCTAGTGACCATGCTACAGTCACACCCGGTTAGTGTCGCACATCAGCGTGATACAGTCACATCCTGGTTCGAACCTGGTTTGCATCTTCTTGCTGGTCCCCCGCTTTCTGCTCTCCCCCGCTCTCTGCTCCCCCACTCACTGCTCCCCCGCTCATTTCCATCCGATCGGCCCCCCTCACCCCTCCTCCAACCCTCCTTCCCCTCCACTGGCCGCCCCCAGCTGGGCCCTCGCTTCGCTGCTCACAGCGCCAACTCACTGCTTCTCCACGATCCGTGCCTTTCATGCATGTGATTCCAATCGCCTCACCCCCCTCGCACCTCCTCCCACCCTTCCTCTCCCCAACGAACCGCCCTCAGCTAGGTCCTCGCTTCGCCGCTGATCGCACCTACTCTCTCCGCTTTCTGAAGCAGGTTATAGCGGAGGCAGAGAGGGGGGTGCGAGGGGAGGTGTGGGAGGAGCTCTACCCGCTCTATGTGGACGCGCTGGGCGCTGGGGGAGGAAGGGGGGAGGGCGGGGAGGGCGAGGAGGGCGAGGAGGCGGAGGAAGGGGAGGAGGCGGGTGCTGCTGTAGGTGCTGCCTCTAGCTTGCCTTGCCCCGTGGTTGCTCTGCTCAGTGAACATGACGAGTTTGATCTATTTGGCACAGTGTTGCTTCAAGTGACATGACCCGAGTATCTCCATATCCCGTCTTCTCGTCCGCTCTAGTTGGTTTCACACCCTCTGTAATGCTTGGCCGCCAACGTGACACATCGCCCTCGTGCTTACGCATCCAACTCGCACCCTCCACCTGCAATCCCTCTCGTCACCCACCCCTGCTTCTCTTTCCCACCCCCCAACACCCCTTGGCCTGCACCACACACACCATCCCCATCGCCGCACACACCATCCCCATCGCCGCACACACACCATGGCAGACGGCACGCCCTGGTGTTTCCACACCTACGCGCTGCGCCTGCCGCCACTCTCCTCCCGCCCACCCTACCCCCGCCTGCACGCAAGCCACTCCAACGGCTTCACCTGCCCTGCAACCTCCCACCCGGGCTCCTCCTCGCTCGCCTCCTCCCACCCGTGCTCCACTCACGCACTCACTGTGCGTGTGTCGCGTGACATGCTAAGAGGCGGCACCGGGTGAGCTCTTCAACCACCCTCTTTCATGCAACCACTCCAAAGGTTCTCTCCTTTTCATTACCTACAGTTTAGAGTTATCCTTTGCATTGTTCATGTGCACGTGTCTCATGTGTTACGTTTCTGGCTGAGCACGTGTATTGGCACATGTGTTGCCGCATGCACCAGTATTGTCACATCACGTGCACATGTATTGTCGTCACATGCACTTGTATTGTCACCTGCACATGTATTGTCACACTTTCACATGTATCCATGGATATATTGTCTTCACCTCGTGCATCCCAGTAAGTCTCTCCTCATCCCATTACCTTTTTAACTTCTCATCCTCCTCCTTGCCTTGCCCGCTTCCCTTCCCCATCTCCGCTTCCCATCCGTCGCCCCATCCACCTCTCCCGCCCTCCCCCCATCAGCTGCACGGCATGGCCAGCTTCGCTCTTCCTCGCAGAGGCTCTCCTCTCGCACCCATCTCTCCTCCTCCCCGCCCCCCACCGCCAATCCACCCCGCCCCTTGCTCCTATCCCCAAGCCTTTGGAGCCAGCTCAAGGCAATTTTACTGCCCCTGTGGCCGGCGCTAAAGCCATGATTGCTGCCCGAGAGGGAGCCTGTAAGAGCCTTCTCAGCGGGCCGGTGTGCCTGGAGCTGGGGGCGGGCTGTGGGCTGCTCGGGCTGTGCCTCGCGCCCTTCCCACTGGCGAAGGTGGGTGCTCGTCCGGGAGAGGATGGGGGGAACGTGAGCAGGGCAGCATGCATCGGGTGGTGTGTGAGGGTGAGGGAGAGAGGGTATGTAGAGCAGTCGTGCCCTGTACTGTGGTGTCTTCTAGTGCTGTGAACTTGCTTGTTTACTCAGTGAAGGACCATCCGAGGGAGAGGGTGTGTAGAGCAAAGCAGCAAGTGCCATGTGGCAGTTGGCTTGCGTCCGGACATGACTGAGGGGAGAAGAGGCAGAAAGAGAGGTGGAGAAGGAGGGAGGCGTGTGTGTGGGCTCTCCTTGTCGTACAACTCGTGCATCCCTGGCCCAGGAGTTGTCTCCAGGCTAAGAGGTGGGGGAAGGGGAGAGAGGGCGGATCAATGGGGCTTCTGGCTTCACAACCAACGCAGACACCTCCTGGGCCAACTGCAGAGCTGTCTTCCCCCACGCTGCCCCGTTCAAGCCAAACCCTCCACCGTCCAACTCGTCTCCAGGCTAAGAAGGAGGGGGAGAGAGAGAGAGAGTGCGGATCAATGGGGTTTCTGGGATTTGAAACCAATGCAGATACCTCCTTGGCCAGGGGGGCGTGTACACGAGGCTGTATCTTGTGCATCTCAAGAATCAAGTGCACACGTGTTTGCTTCTCCTCTGCCGCTCTACTCCCCCTTTTTTACTTCTGATATAAGCACCTACTCCGCCCCCCCATTTCCCCGTCTGGCTCCATTTTATCCAGCTCATTCTTACGAACGACTTTAGAGTCGACTCAAAGTTCCCCCTTGTCCCCGCCCCCACCTCCCCCCCTCTCATCGCACCCAGCTCATCCTCACAGACGCCAGCACTGCCTCGCTCTCCAATCTCTGCTTTAACCACTCCCCCTGTTTTGCTGCTTTCTCTTGCCCTTCTCCCACCCATCTCCCCCCCTCTTATCTACTCCAGCTCATCCTCACAGACGCCAGCACTGCTTCCCTCGCCAACCTCTGCACCAACCTCGCCACCAACGCGCTGCCCTTCTCCTCGGGCCCAGGGATTCCCCTCCTCCGCCCCTCACGCCCTCATGGAAGCACGCGCACGGCACGCCCAAGTCAAGGCGCCCAGCAATGTGCGAACGGGGAGGTGCAGTGCGGTGGGAGAGAGGAGGTGTGCGAGGGTACATGGTCAGAAGGGGCTGCAGGGATGCAAGGGTGGGAGGGCGTGGGGGGGGAAGGGTGTGCAGGAGGGGAGGGAGGTGCAAGGGTGCATGTGCAGCAGCTGTGTTGGGAAGAGGTCACACCCGCGCTTGCATCATCCCTCTCTGCTGACGTCATCATCGGTGCTGACATCGTGTATGACCCCTCCGTGGTCCCCGCCCTCGCTGACGCGCTGGCAGCCCTGCTGTCCACGTCAGCGCACAGCGCACGCACGGAACATGCCACCTGGCAAGATCAACACCCACCTCCGACGGCCCAAGCTGCTACCACACAGCATGCGGGCATGAGTGACCATCCCGCCTCAGCCGTACCCATCTCTCTTCCTCCAGCCCCCTATGCGCTCATAGCCTCCACTCATCGCAACCCCCTCACCATGGCATGCTTCCTGCAGGCCCTTCACGACCGGGGGCTGCAGGTGAGGGATGTTGCTGGGGAGCTCGTGCCGCACTCGCGCTCTCGCCCTCAGTCGCGGTGGTTCCATTGCTTGGAGCTTCCGGAAGCAGATCGCATGATGCTGCACCTGATTCATATGTGAGGTTGTTTTGGAGCTTGTGAGTTACTTGTTTCGAAGTGCTAATTTTCAATGGCCTAAATGCACGTGGTACTGAACAGCTATAATCAGCAGTCACAGTTGTGGTCATCACACGTAAGACCAGTATGAGGCAGCACAAAGTCTCTACTGATGGGTGCAAACAATGTGCTGAAATTGTCATATTCATACAGTTTCGATATCCTCGGATTTTGCATTTCAGTACTCCACGTTCACAGCTAGGAAACGCTTTAGCGATACAATCCACTTCTTGCTGGGCTTCTGGAAATTGGCTGGGCTTGGGTGTGGGGTAAGTATGCTCGCCACGCACGATCGGCAAGTCACACACGAGTTGACTGGAGAGACTCTGTACACGTCAAACTTAAATCTGGACTTTTCTACACGTAGGCATGCTTGTATCAAGAAAGGCGCCATCGATGTCGTCGAGAACATCTCCAGTACCGTCGATGGAGATGCTCACGTGGAACCTTCCACCAACCCCCTGTCGCACACCAGCATCAGGGTGATTCGTGAAGCACGTGAATCCCTTGATTCGTGTACCAGCCCTGCCTGTTCCTCCCTTTGAGGTGTGATGCATGACGCCGCGCCAAGTGGAATCCACGTCATTGCAGCTACACCAACCGACACTCTCCAGGACAACGAGTCAGCGTTGAACCTTTCAAGCAAGACACCACCGTCACCTCACCCCTCCCGAATCCCGATTCCCGAATCCCACAACACACCTTTTCACTGGTTGCTCTCAATTTTAGGGTTTCATTTCTGCTTCGAGTACTAGCTACCGTTCGTTCAAAGCTCATCCCAACCCAGCAGCACACTTGCGAATCACTTGCCGCCGCGTTGAACGTCATGGCTGCCCTTGTCCAAGTCGCGTCAGGGCCATGCCTTTCCGCGTCGCTTGCACCGTCGTCGGCCGGACGAAGGAGCACCTCTCAACCGGCTTCGTCAGACTGCCGGCCAGTCTCTGCCGCCTCTCGACTCAGCAGCTGCGCAGTTCGCGCGAAACACCGCGTGCCTCTGCTGAGACACGTGGCAGCCTTCCAGGATGACGCGTGTAAAGCATTCTACGAGCCGGTACGCTGCAAGAAGGCGGACAAGGAGAGCAAGGGCTTTAAAGACGCGAAGCGGTCGCTGAAGGCGAAAGCGGCGGCGTTGGAGTCGCAGTTCGTCGCCTTGGCCGAAGCCGTCGACTCGGACGAGCAGCAGACCGGCGTTGCGACGGCGGCCTCGGTTGACGCGGTAAGAGGTTACTCGCTCTTCATAAATCTGGTGTCTTTGTCATATGTTTGGTTCTCTTCGTTATATGCTTTCCGTATTCCCCTTAAGTCTGACGGCAAGCTGTGATCAAGAACCTAACCGGGACAGTTTCTGATATGCCTACCGCTCGTGTCGTGTGACTCGGATCGTGGTGGCAGGACTTCGTGGCGACGGTGCTTCGCGAGCTGAAGGAGATCAAGGCGGAGCTCAAGTCGCTGAAGCAGATGCAGAAGAAGATGATGGAATCCTCCTCCTCTTCCTCTTCCTCATCATCATCCTCCTCCAGCAGCGATGGCGGCATGGGGGGAATGAAGGCCAGGCGCATGGAGCGCCGCAAAGCACGCCAGCAGGGCGCCATGGGGATGATGGGAACTGGGGGGGGCGCGGGGGCCTCCGTCGCCACCGGCGCCGCTGCTGCCGGTGCGGCTGTCATCACTGCTCCTGTTGCCGCCGCCGCAGCTCCACCCGCCGCTTCCCCCGCTTTGTCATCCGTGCAGTCGGTGATAGCTGCATCGTCCGGCCCCACCGCTCCTGCCAATCCAGTGGCGTCGGTTCTTGCCGCGCATGCACACGTAGCCTCGGAAGCTCCTAGGGTGTGGGAGATTGAAGACGTGGTTTCAGCGATTGCAGGAGGCGCGTCTTTCACCAGCTCCGCGCTGCCCTCCGCCCTCCTAACGCCCGTCCAGCTCCCCCCTGTGCAAGCCCCGCCTCCCCCCTCCCCACTCCCCGCTCCCGTCTCCCCCCTTCCCGCCGCGGCTATCGCGACTGTCCTTCCCGACACCGCGGCCTCGCCGCTGCAAGGGAGCGTGGCGGTGGGTGTGACAGTAGCGGGGGACGTGGAGGTGTGCGTTGGCGGTAAGTGCAAGAAGAACGGGGCGGGTGAGATCCTGTCGGCGTTCCAGGAGCAGGCAGCGGGAACGGGCGTACATGTGGAGGCGTGTAAATGCATGGGCAAGTGCAAGGCGGCGCCAAACGTGAGAGTGTGGCGGGATGACGTGGACGAGCCTCGGATGGAGAGTTATTTGGCAGTAGAAGATGTGGGCGTGCTGATGCAGAGGCACTTCGGCCTGCAGCCTGCTCCCGTGCCTGCTGCTGGAGCTGGAGTTATGTGATGCACTGGACACTGGAAAGGAACTTGTAGTTACAACTCAATAATACCCTTATGCTGTAAGTAGGCTTTCTGTTGTTTGGTGGCAACCATCAACAGCTTGTTTTAGCATTTTAAATATGGTCTGGAGACAAATGTGCCAGTCACCTGTTTCTGAAGATTCTTGTGTGCAAATCATCCTTGCTTTCAGGGCTGCTTATGCTAATCCCATTCCATTACTTCCAGAAATTCACCCCACGCCTGCACTTCAACTTAATTTATAATGAAACCCTGCACTTCTGTCTGTTGATACCAGTAACACATGTAAAAAAATGCAGTGATATAAAGAATCTCTATGGTGCTGATAATAAAACATATGCTAAGTGAATTTTGAACCAGCGTTGTAGAAGAACTATTCGCGATGTGACATGAGAGTGGAGCTTTGGGTTGTCTTGAAGGATGCGGGGTGGCTCGATTCGTGCCCCTGATTTCCATGCGGCTCGGGAGTTTTCACCGACGTGAGGAGGCTTGTTTCCATAAAAACACACACTCGAAGGTAAACGTCTCATTCTTTTCTATTTCAAAGTGTAGACATAACCACTTCGCGCAATAGTCTCGGCGGGAAAAATGTATGGACTTTCTGGAGCAGGAACCAGCAACTCTTTGATCCCTTCTCATTTCAGGCAGAATGGGCGTTTTCCCACTCGGCTTTATGGTTTTTGTGGTTCCCCAATTTCTGGTCGGTGTGGGAATGAGTGTGGCACTCGAGTTTTCCCTAAAACAAATATTTCTCCGTGCCGCGCCCTTGACCAAAGCGATCAAGGCGACTGATGGTGACGTGTGATGCGCCCCTCAGAGTTATATAACACAAACACCTGCCAGTCGAAGTTTTCAATCAAAGCTCCCCTCACCACTTCGACCTGCACCCACATACCTTTCGCCATGGCCCGTGCTCTCAGCGTGTTCATCTTCATCTCAGGTACTTGACACAACCGCAAGGACTGAAAGAAACAGCTAGTTGTCTTAGCTTGTTTTCCCCACCTCACCTCCTTTCGTCTTTCGTGCGTGCAGCCTTCGTAGTCGGTGCAGCTGCACAATGTGCGACCCCCTTTCAGGTACGCCTTAGCACCTGGTTTAGACTCGTTCGGCACGCATGAGCAGTGCTAATTAGTTTCTGTTCGCATGGCAGGCATGTGACTTCTACTTCAAGCCTCCACGTGGCATGAAGCCATTTGTCCCGACGTTCAAGATACGCGCCTCCAATATGAATCTCATGCTCAGCCAAACCTTCATCATGCACAAGTAAGTATCCTGGTCTCCCTCGGCCTTGCTCAACAGCGTGTCCTCTACACCAAGAGGTCTCGTATTAGGCTTCGCGATTAACGATTGATCCACGTGTTTGCATGGCGTAATGAAATCCTTCGCTTTGCTGTTTTCAGGTCGGGTGACGTCGTGCTATCCACGAGCAATAACAACGAATACAACGGTTGCGTCATGACGCCAGTGAGTACCCAAAGCAGGAGATCGAGATGAATGCTGACGCCGTAACGTCAAATCGACAACCATTGTGAATGATGTGTTGCCTGCTAGCTACAATTTGGCCATGGATTCCCACTTACCACTCTTCGTACTGTCTGGCATCAATGCAGAGAACTGACTGGCGTACGTGCGATAAAGTGTTTCTGTTCAAGGGAGCGGGGAACGGGCCCAGTTCGTACGTCAACACCAACCTCGTCGCCATGTACCCCATGACCCCCGACGTCGTCCCTGTAAGTTCGATGCATAGCACCTCCACGGAACTGGAAATTTCCAGATACAGTTACGCGGGCCATTAAGATACTACAAGTTCTATGTGATACAGCTGCAACCTTCAACATGGCGTACATTTCGGTTGATTGTATTTTTTTCTTTTTGCAGATGTATAAGAACAGGTGCATCGTGCTGCGAATGGATAACACTCGTCTCGCCCGCAGCGGCTACCTCAATAGCGGAGATACCCGCATGCGATTCCCTGAGGTACGCTGTACTAGTCATGACAGAGCATCTACTTTGTGTAAAACAAGAGCACGTTTATCAGCACGCTTGCCCGTGTTTAAGGTCATTTGCCCAATTCTGAATTCTCTTTAATACTTCATGTCTATCCGTTCGACACCTTCTGTCTGTTCGATTTTGCAGCAACGCCGTTGCATCGCTTTCAAGACCGCTTAAGTAATATGTGCGGCGCTGGCAAGGGGGCATCCGGTAACCATACACTGAAGGATTAATAAGTGGCAGTACTTGGTTCCAGTCAAATGTGGAACTCACACCTGCTGCAGGACGAGTTCGCATTGTCGCATCTGTCTGCAGCGTTGATACTTCAATCAGTCTGCCTAGTTACTAGGGTCCTAGCTTTGTAGGGGCTCGCATAAACGTTTCGTAGTATGATGTTACTTTCCACATTTGCTGAAAACGTCATGACACGACAGTGGAACCGACTCGTGGCACAAGATACTGTTAGCCACGGACTACGAAATGGCAGTGGGAGATGCGCATGAATGCAGGGAGTAGATAGCAGAGGAGAATAGTAGAGAATACTGGGGCCATGAATGGCTTGTCTATTCTCGGTAACACCTGGGGGTGGGTGGGACGCGAAGGGCTTTTCACGCACAAGCCCACGTAGCAAGAGCACGAGTGAGTGAAGAGTTAGAGCTGGGATCGAAACACAAACATGTTCTTCTCGCTCCGCGATGTAGAACCACCCCCAGTGTCACTGGAAAAAAAAAAAGGGTCTAATATACGGTATGTGTTTATATTTATGGATTATTTACACAGGCGGTGACACCTCAAAACCCGCATACTCCAGTTAAATTACAGTCATGGAAGATACTTCAGTGGTGAAGATATTTTCAATCAAGTTAAGAGACCAATATTTGGTGTATTCGGTATCATGCGCATTAATATATTATATAAATATCAAATTTGCAATAATTAGTTTTATGAGCTGTGGGCAGGTGGTGCTAAGTGTTTTAACACAGCCAAAACAATCAATATCACAGAAAATCATGAATAATGTAGCTTGGCTGGTTACCAGGAACACCAATTTCTTCGCACAGGCCACGCATCCAGCCACCGTCGCAACCACAACTGTCCATGCAGCAAATCGTTGGCATCCCTCCCTATGGGCCACGTGTGGGTCCAACTCATTGCTCCTCGAAACAGTTCTGTATTCCACTGAGAAACACTTCAACGCGCGGAACCGTATTAAACTACACTGTAACAGTGCAAGCAACGACGAGTGTGGACAAACCAAAGCACACCTCAACAGTGGCTTCATGGCGAAGCGTGGAACGTGGAGCATGGATCATCACTGGTTCCCAACAACCTCCAGCTTCATCCTTCTTTCTTCTTTCTGTTCGTCCTTCATACGAATTAGGATTAGTCTGTACGCTCGCATGCTTTTACTGTCCGATTAGCTAAACTTCAACCATTACGTAAGTCCCTTTTCCTCGGGTGAAGCGCTCGTAGCACCGCCAGCCATGACGACTCTCCCGCCGCTTCGCGGGGGAGCGCGAACGAGGCATCGCGCAGAGCAGCAACACGCCGCTGATTATTCGTCCACGGACGCCTTCATGCTCGCCACGCTCGCATCCGCGACGAACTACGACAGCTCTTCGTCGCACGACCTGTCGCACGTGTCGTCGCACGCCTCACCTGGTGCCTCGCGGACTTCGCAAACCAAACTGGACGGGGAATGGCCGCCTCGAAATCTCCGACCACGAAACCCTAACGGCACAGCGCACGCGAAGGCAGATTCTGGTAAAAAGGTCAAGATAGGCGGCGTGCGGAACGGGGACAGGGCGGAGGGAGAGAGTAAAGAGAGCGTAGATGACGCAAGTATGGGTAGTGAAAGCGTCAGTAGCGTATGCAGTTCAGGCAGCGCGAAGGCAGACGGTTTAGTCGCGCGCGTTAGGAAGAATCTCGCAGACTTGCGTCCGTTTGACGATTCGGTCAATAGCGCGGACGCTGGAGCCAGTAGGAATGCGGACAGCGGAACGGGGGCGGAGCAAGTGGGGAGAGAGAACGCGCAAGGCGAAGGTGGAGGAGGCGAAGGAGGGGGACCAGGTGGAGGAGTGCCGTCAGGCGGAGTGCCGTCCGCCAGAACGGCCTCTTCCGCCCGCGCAGTTCCGCGGAGGAGGCGGACGGCGGGCGGGTGCAGCTTCGACAGCTCGTTCGACCCGGTGCTCTCCACCTCGCCCCCCGCGCCCATGAGCGCCAGCGATTGCGACGCCCCCAAGCCCAAGGGGCGCAGGGCAGCAGCGGCGGCGGCGCTCGCCGCCAACGCCTCGTTAGAAGCCCCTCCGATACCCCGCACCGCCACCAACTCTTCCGCCGTCTCCAGCTGCTCCGCTGCTTCCGCCGCCTCCGCTCCCCCGGGCGCGCTGAAAGGGGTTCCGCCCGTGGGGGGATCGCGGGGGCACAGCAGGAGCCGCTCGCACGGGTCCGGGCGGCTGCTGTCGCGCCTGGCGCACCAGCCTGGCGCAGAGCTCCCCGCAGACGCGGGCGCTGGCGCTGCTGCTGCTGCGCCCTCTAGCGCTGCCTCTGGTGCTGTGGAGGGGGAGAAGAGCGGCGGGGGAGGCAGGCATGCGGAGGGACTGCCCATGCTGCCCCCGCCTGACGCACCTCAGATCGTGAAGGTCCGATTCGGATTGGAACCGCGCCCCTTCTCTGCCAGCTCCGTTCCTTGTGATGCCAGCTCGGTTCCTTGTAATGCCAGCTCGGTTCAATGCTTGCTGACAGTATTAATCCAGCTTCTTTCTCCCCTCTCTTTACACCTCTCTCCCTTCACTCCCTCCCTTCTCCCCTCTCCCTTTCGCCCCTCTCCCTTCTTCCCTCCTCCTTTCTCCTCTCGCCCTTTCTCCTATCTCCCTTCTCCCCTCTCCCCTCTCCCTTCTCCCCTCTCCCTTTCTCCCCCATCCCTTCTCCCCTCTACTTCTCCCCCCTCCCTTCTCCCCTCTCCCCTCTCCCCTATCCCTTCTCCGCTCTCCCCTCCCCTCTCCCCTCTCCCTCTCCCTTCTCTCCTCTCCCCTCTCCCCTCTCCCTTCTCCCCACTCCCCTCTCCCCTCGCCCCTCTCCCCTCACCCCTCTCTCCTCACCCCTCACCCCCCTCTCTCCCCTCTCCGCCAGTGCCTCTGAGGCGCCTCAAAAGCAGACTCCCTTCGTCCCTTTCCGTCTGAATTTTCACCTTTATCCCTTGTTCCCACTCCCTCATCCCTCCTCCCTACACCCCCCTGCAGTGTCAGAGCTGCAACAAGTCGCTGGCAGTGCCGCCCAACCTGCCGCCGTCCGCCAAGGGCTATCAGCGCCTGCGCTGCGGCAAGTGCCTGCAAATCTCGAAATACGCCCTCTACTCCCCCGCCACCGCCGCCTCTGCTGCTGGTGCTGCTGCTGACCTAGAAAGAATGCAGAAGGGGGAACAGGAGGAGCGGGAGGGGAAGGAGGGGGAGGAAATCAGGGCGGAGTGTTATGGGGCGGGAGGGGGAGAGGCGGGTGAGAGAAGTGGAGGGAAAGGGGAGGAAGGTCAGGAGGGACCCGGGGAACTAGGTGCATTTCACATGTACAATGCGAACTCATATCACCAGCAGCAGTGGCAGCAGCAACTACAACAGCAACAGCAGCTGCCGCAGTTGCAGCAGCACCACTTGCAGCAGCACCACCACCAGCAGCAATTGCAGCAACCACAGCATGAGCATCAACAATCGCTGAAACACCAGGAGCAACAGCAACAGCAACAGCAGCACCAGCAACAGCAACAGCAACAGCAACAGCAACAGCAACAGCAGCAACACCAGCAACAGCAACAGCAGCAACACCAGCAACAGCAACAGCAGCAACACCAGCAGCAGCTGCCGCCGCCGCTGCCGCCGCAGCAGAGGTGCCACCGTCGCTCTCCCTCAACTGGCGCGGCAGCAGTGGTGGCAGCAGCAGTGGCGGCAGCAGCAGCAACCGCCGCCAGCAGCACCAGCAGACACGAGTCCCCCTTCCGCAGTAAGGCAGCACTCGCTAAGGGCGGCAAGGTTGGCGGGGGGAAAGACGGCAAGGCAGGGGGGAAGCACCAGCGGCGAGCGACAGTGGACTCGGCAGAAGTGCTGGGGGCGTGGGAGAGGGAGGCTGGGCAGGCCAGTGCTGCCGGCAGCAGCAGTGGTGGGCACAGTGGTGGGGGCGCGGGCGCGGGTGTGGGTGCGGGAGCGGGTGCAGGTGCAGGTGGGGGCAGTGCGATGCCCCTTCGCCCCAGCACGAGCAGTGGCGCGAGTCAGCTGGCGGTGGCGTCTGGGTTTGGGCCCTGGGATGCTGCCACTGCCATGCACGCTGCTGCTGCCGCCGCTGCTGCCACTGCTGGTGCTTCCGCTGCCCCACCTACTTCGAGCTTACCCCCGTTGGCTGCACATCAGCTGGTGGGCAGCAGTCCCCCTGGCCCAGCTGGCATGTTCCCTCCGGGCGGAGTCGCCGATTTCCTAAGGCAGCAGCAGCTCGCATGGCAGCAGCACATGGGAGCGGATATGATGCTGCAGGCGCAACCCATGGCGGCAGCAGGCATGCTTCCCCCCATGGCCCCACAACAGTTTTCACTGCCCATGCAGCAACCTGGCATGCAGCAACCTGGCATGCCGCAACCTGGCATGCAGCAACCTGGCATGCCGCAACCTGGCATGCCGCAACTTGGCATGCAGCAGCATTTTCCCCCTAACCCTGTGACCACTCCCGCAATGCCGTATGGCCTGGTGGGGCCGGGCATGCCAGGCATGCCACTGCCGCCAGGGGCCATGGGGCAAGGGGCCATGGGGCAAGGGGGCATGGGGCAAGGGGCCATGGGGCAAGGGGGCATGGGCACAGGAATAAACGGCATGAACATGGGCATGGACATGGGAATGGGCATGGGCACAGGCATGGAGATGGGGATGGGAATGGGGGGGGCCATGGGGGGACACATGGGGGGACCGGGAATGATGGGGCCGCTGGGCGAGGAGGGGGGCTACAGCCGGCGAGTGGTGGTGAACAGTGTGCCCATCACCGACCCGGCTGTAGCGCGTGCAGAGGAGCTCGCTGGACCCATCCACCCCGGGAGCTACTGGTGAGTGAAAGTTGCTGCTACTGGTGTGAGGTGTGGTGTGGTGAGAGGCGGTGGTGAGAGGTGGTGGTGAGAGGTGGCCCGGCTGTAGCGCGCGCTGAGGAGCTAGCTGGACCCATCCACCCGGGCAGCTACTGATGAGAACTGCTGGTGGTGGTGGTGGTGGTGCTGCTGCTGCTGCTGCTGCTGCTGGTGAGAGGCGGTGGTGAGAGCTCCTGCTGGTGTGTCGATAGATAGGAGGGTGCTGCTAGGGAGATTACGGCTAGGGGGGTTGCTGCTAGGGAGAATACTGCTAAGGGGGTTGCTGCTAGGAAGAATGCCACTAGGGGGGTTGCTGCCTGTGCAAGGCGAGGGACTGATAGGCAGTGTGCAGAGAAGGTGAGGGAACTGTCAGATCAGAGCAGGAGGTAGGTGAGGAGAGTGCAGACAAGGTTAAAAAATTGAGGTGCTCTCACAAGAGCAAATGCTGTAGTTTTCTCAGCACTCTCTATTATGATCGATCATTCCGCTTTACTCACAAGGGCCAGGGGCATGTGTGCTGCTGTTTGCTGTGGTGTGTGCTGCGGTGTTTGCTGCAGGTACGATGTGCATGCTGGCTTCTGGGGAGTGATGGGAGGGCCGTGCCTTGGGATCATCCCGGTATGTATCCACTGCTTTTCCATCCAGCTTTCAGTTTCCCCCCTGCTGCTTTGACTCCGCTCTTTCCTCCTCCCCCCACCATCCTCTTCCAAGCCTCAACCCTTCTCATGCTGCTTCGACCCTACCCAACCATGCCCAACCCCTCCATGACCCCCATTCCTTACCGCTCCTACGATTGACTATGGAGTGTTGTCCCCCTCCATGGCCGTGTGTGTCCCCCTCCATGGCCGTGTGTGTCCCCCTCCATGGCCGTGTGTGTCCCCCTCCATGGCCGTGTGTGTCCCCCTCCATGGCCGTGTGTGTCCTCGTTCGCATGCACCATGGCAGCAACTCACCTTCCACCCAATTGTGATGAGTCTATTATTTAGTCGACTCAAAAGAAGGAGAAAAAAAATAGACCATGGCAACAAGTCACCTTCCACCCAAACTGCTCTGCACACTGCCCTGCAGCATCTCACCCCCACTCGTGTGTATGTACGTAGTGGTAGCGCCCCTGCTCTGTCACAGTTTCAATGGATGCAGGCGGGTGTGAGCATCAGGGAGCCACACTGCGGAGCCTACACATCCTCATGCCTTCCTTTCACCGCTCGCTTTCCTTGCACTGCCTCCTCTGCTCCCCCCACCCCCCAACCTGTGTGCAGGCGGGTATCTGGGACCTAGCACTAGCTCCTCTACTGCGGCACTGCTCCAACGGGCACACACGAGTGCTGGTGAATGGCAGGGAGCTGCAGCGGCGGGACCTGCACATTCTCACAACTCCCTTTCCCTGCCTGCTTCGCATGCACTGCCTCATTCACTGCCCCACTCCTTTCCCCCCCAACCTGTGTGCAGGCGGGTATCTGGGACCTAGCACTAGCTCCTCTACTGCGGCACTGCTCCAACGGGCACACACGAGTGCTGGTGAATGGCAGGGAGCTGCAGCGGCGGGACCTGCACATTCTCACAACTCCCTTTCCCTGCCTGCTTCGCATGCACTGCCTCATTCACTGCCCCACTCCTTTCCCCCCCAACCTGTGTGCAGGCGGGTATCTGGGACCTAGCACTAGCTCCTCTACTGCGGCACTGCTCCAACGGGCACACACGAGTGCTGGTGAATGGCAGGGAGCTGCAGCGGCGGGACCTGCACATTCTCACAACTCCCTTTCCCTGCCTGCTTCGCATGCACTGCCTCATTCACTGCCCCACTCCTTTCCCCCCCAACCTGTGTGCAGGCGGGTATCTGGGACCTAGCACTAGCTCCTCTACTGCTGCACTGCTCCAACGGGCACACACGAGTGCTGGTGAATGGCAGGGAGCTGCAGCGGCGGGACCTGCACATTCTCACAACTCCCTTTCCCTGCCTGCTTCGCATGCACTGCCTCATTCACTGCCCCACTCCTTTCCCCCCCAACCTGTGTGCAGGCGGGTATCTGGGACCTAGCACTAGCTCCTCTACTGCGGCACTGCTCCAACGGGCACACACGAGTGCTGGTGAATGGCAGGGAGCTGCAGCGGCGGGACCTGCACATTCTCACAACTCCCTTTCCCTGCCTGCTTCGCATGCACTGCCTCATTCACTGCCCCACTCCTTTCCCCCCCAACCTGTGTGCAGGCGGGTATCTGGGACCTAGCACTAGCTCCTCTACTGCGGCACTGCTCCAACGGGCACACACGAGTGCTGGTGAATGGCAGGGAGCTGCAGCGGCGGGACCTGCACATTCTCACAACTCCCTTTCCCTGCCTGCTTCGCATGCACTGCCTCATTCACTGCCCCACTCCTTTCCCCCCCAACCTGTGTGCAGGCGGGTATCTGGGACCTAGCACTAGCTCCTCTACTGCGGCACTGCTCCAACGGGCACACACGAGTGCTGGTGAATGGCAGGGAGCTGCAGCGGCGGGACCTGCACATTCTCACAACTCCCTTTCCCTGCCTGCTTCGCATGCACTGCCTCATTCACTGCCCCACTCCTTTCCCCCCCAACCTGTGTGCAGGCGGGTATCTGGGACCTAGCACTAGCTCCTCTACTGCGGCACTGCTCCAACGGGCACACACGAGTGCTGGTGAATGGCAGGGAGCTGCAGCGGCCGGACCTGCACATTCTCACAACTCCCTTTCCCTGCCTGCTTCGCATGCACTGCCTCATTCACTGCCCCACTCCTTTCCCCCCCAACCTGTGTGCAGGCGGGTATCTGGGACCTAGCACTAGCTCCTCTACTGCGGCACTGCTCCAACGGGCACACACGAGTGCTGGTGAATGGCAGGGAGCTGCAGCGGCGGGACCTGCACATTCTCACAACTCCCTTTCCCTGCCTGCTTCGCATGCACTGCCTCATTCACTGCCCCACTCCTTTCCCCCCCAACCTGTGTGCAGGCGGGTATCTGGGACCTAGCACTAGCTCCTCTACTGCGGCACTGCTCCAACGGGCACACACGAGTGCTGGTGAATGGCAGGGAGCTGCAGCGGCGGGACCTGCACATTCTCACAACTCCCTTTCCCTGCCTACTTCGCATGCACTGCCTCATTCACTGCCCCACTCCTTTCCCCCCCAACCTGTGTGCAGGCGGGTATCTGGGACCTAGCACTAGCTCCTCTACTGCGGCACTGCTCCAACGGGCACACACGAGTGCTGGTGAATGGCAGGGAGCTGCAGCGGCGGGACCTGCACATTCTCACAACTCCCTTTCCCTGCCTGCTTCGCATGCACTGCCTCATTCACTGCCCCACTCCTTTCCCCCCCAACCTGTGTGCAGGCGGGTATCTGGGACCTAGCACTAGCTCCTCTACTGCGGCACTGCTCCAACGGGCACACACGAGTGCTGGTGAATGGCAGGGAGCTGCAGCGGCCGGACCTGCACATTCTCACAACTCCCTTTCCCTGCCTGCTTCGCATGCACTGCCTCATTCACTGCCCCACTCCTTTCCCCCCCAACCTGTGTGCAGGCGGGTATCTGGGACCTAGCACTAGCTCCTCTACTGCGGCACTGCTCCAACGGGCACACACGAGTGCTGGTGAATGGCAGGGAGCTGCAGCGGCCGGACCTGCACATTCTCACAACTCCCTTTCCCTGCCTGCTTCGCATGCACTGCCTCATTCACTGCCCCACTCCTTTCCCCCCCAACCTGTGTGCAGGCGGGTATCTGGGACCTAGCACTAGCTCCTCTACTGCGGCACTGCTCCAACGGGCACACACGAGTGCTGGTGAATGGCAGGGAGCTGCAGCGGCGGGACCTGCACATTCTCACAACTCCCTTTCCCTGCCTGCTTCGCATGCACTGCCTCATTCACTGCCCCACTCCTTTCCCCCCCAACCTGTGTGCAGGCGGGTATCTGGGACCTAGCACTAGCTCCTCTACTGCGGCACTGCTCCAACGGGCACACACGAGTGCTGGTGAATGGCAGGGAGCTGCAGCGGCGGGACCTGCACATTCTCACAACTCCCTTTCCCTGCCTGCTTCGCATGCACTGCCTCATTCACTGCCCCACTCCTTTCCCCCCCAACCTGTGTGCAGGCGGGTATCTGGGACCTAGCACTAGCTCCTCTACTGCGGCACTGCTCCAACGGGCACACACGAGTGCTGGTGAATGGCAGGGAGCTGCAGCGGCGGGACCTGCACATTCTCACAACTCCCTTTCCCTGCCTGCTTCGCATGCACTGCCTCATTCACTGCCCCACTCCTTTCCCCCCCAACCTGTGTGCAGGCGGGTATCTGGGACCTAGCACTAGCTCCTCTACTGCGGCACTGCTCCAACGGGCACACACGAGTGCTGGTGAATGGCAGGGAGCTGCAGCGGCCGGACCTGCACATTCTCACAACTCCCTTTCCCTGCCTGCTTCGCATGCACTGCCTCATTCACTGCCCCACTCCTTTCCCCCCCAACCTGTGTGCAGGCGGGTATCTGGGACCTAGCACTAGCTCCTCTACTGCGGCACTGCTCCAACGGGCACACACGAGTGCTGGTGAATGGCAGGGAGCTGCAGCGGCGGGACCTGCACATTCTCACAACTCCCTTTCCCTGCCTGCTTCGCATGCACTGCCTCATTCACTGCCCCACTCCTTTCCCCCCCAACCTGTGTGCAGGCGGGTATCTGGGACCTAGCACTAGCTCCTCTACTGCGGCACTGCTCCAACGGGCACACACGAGTGCTGGTGAATGGCAGGGAGCTGCAGCGGCCGGACCTGCACATTCTCACAACTCCCTTTCCCTGCCTGCTTCGCATGCACTGCCTCATTCACTGCCCCACTCCTTTCCCCCCCAACCTGTGTGCAGGCGGGTATCTGGGACCTAGCACTAGCTCCTCTACTGCGGCACTGCTCCAACGGGCACACACGAGTGCTGGTGAATGGCAGGGAGCTGCAGCGGCGGGACCTGCACATTCTCACAACTCCCTTTCCCTGCCTGCTTCGCATGCACTGCCTCATTCACTGCCCCACTCCTTTCCCCCCCAACCTGTGTGCAGGCGGGTATCTGGGACCTAGCACTAGCTCCTCTACTGCGGCACTGCTCCAACGGGCACACACGAGTGCTGGTGAATGGCAGGGAGCTGCAGCGGCCGGACCTGCACAATCTCACAACTCCCTTTCCCTGCCTGCTTCGCATGCACTGCCTCATTCACTGCCCCACTCCTTTCCCCCCCAACCTGTGTGCAGGCGGGTATCTGGGACCTAGCACTAGCTCCTCTACTGCGGCACTGCTCCAACGGGCACACACGAGTGCTGGTGAATGGCAGGGAGCTGCAGCGGCGGGACCTGCACATTCTCATGCAGAGGGGCCTGCTCGACCACCCTGGCGCCGCCTACCTGCTGGATATTCACGGCAACCTTGCTGACGCCACCAATGGGGAGCCGCTGCCCTGCCTCGGCAAACTTGCTCCCTCGTGAGTTCTCTTCTTCCTGGTGTGTCTCTTACGGTTGCCACTTTTTTCTGCTGCTCGAGCACCTCGGGGCCGCCTACCTGCTGGATATTCACGGCAACCTTGCTAATGCTACCAATGGGGAGCCCCTGCCCTGCCTCGAAAAACTCGCCCCCTTGTGAGTTCGCCTCCTCCCCGTGTATCCTTTTCATGATACGTCTCAAATGCTCGCCCCTTAATGATATGATGGCGGCAGAAAGTACCTGGAGGGTTGTCCCGGAATCAGCATTTGTAGAAGCGTGTGAGGTGCATGTTATCTCTGGTTCATACAATTTTCATTTTTCGTTTTGGATAGTACGTACGGAAGGATGCTAAGGCATTGCTGCGTCCCATGTGGTGGTGCATGCAGGCTGGAGCTCAAGGGCAGGGGAGCAGGCATGTATGTACCCAAACAGCCCACGTAGTTATCGGTTGTATAGTGCAATGGAGTGCACTGGAGTGAGTGAGTACTACCGTAGATTGCAAGGGTCATTCCACAGTGCTATGGGGAAATTCAGAGGCTGTTCACACCAAAGGAAGATCTCCGTCGGCCGTCGTCAAGTAGAATGCTATGCCCCTTACAAACCAGACACCCTGTTTTCAGTAATCTGACTAGTATCAGCAATGTTTGCAAATCATGACCATTTCATGAGTGAATAGCTTTTTCAAGGCAGAAATGAAACCAAAATAAAAACGTGCCATTATTCATACCCAGCATATTACAATTTAGGGCGTATTGATAATCACCCCCAATGAAGGTGGGTGTTATAATTTTAGCTTAAGTTACTTGCAACCCTTGGGTGACATACCTAATATTATTGAAGTAATGTAGTTTCCGAAACATGTCATTGAACTGAATCGCGATTTTCTCACTGCGCAAAATATGTCGCCAGCCATTGCAAAGGGTTGGGAGAAACTGAGATCGCACCCCCAACACCCGGTATGTCAAATAGGCTGTGTGGTGATGTGCTTTTTGACCAAAGTGAACAGCAGAACGTGGATCATGTGCTGCACAGCATTGGCTGCAATTGGACAAAACAAGTCAGAATGTTGGAAAGGCCAAGAAACAAGCCTCAGAACGAAGAGAACCAGTGACCATGGCTATACCAGACGAAGTGAAGCTCATCAACGCCTGGATTATATTTTCCGCGTTTTTTTGCATGGCTCGGTCTGAGGAATTGCTGTATGCACTATAGGGGAGTAAATCACTCCATACAACCATGACAAGTACTACCAGATCATGACATTCTGATAAATACGTTTACCCGGTTACTTCTTGGCAGCAGCGGCCCTCACAACCGCCTGGGCAGCAGCCAACCGGGCGATGGGCACGCTGCAAGGCAAAAGAAAGGCGAAAGACAAAACAGAAGCGCGTCAGATACTAGGTCCTGACATGGTCAAGACAACGATAGAATGAAGGGTGAGTGGGTGGTGGGAGGGAGGCGTACCGGAAGGGCGAGCAGGAGACGTAGTTGAGGCCGCACTTGGCGAAGAACTCGACGGACGACGCCTCGCCGCCTTGCTCTCCGCACACGCCCACCAGCAGGTCAGGGCGCGCAGCGCGGCCGCGCTCCACGGCCATCTTGATGAGCTGGCCGACACCGGCCTGGTCGAGAACCTCGAAGGGGTCGTTCTGGAGAATGCCAAGCTCCAGGTACTTGGGCAGGAACTTGGACACGTCGTCGCGCGAGTAGCCGAACGTCATCTGGGTCAGGTCGTTGGTACCGAAGGAGAAGAACTCGGCGCGTTCTGCGATCTGGTCGGCGATGAGGGCCGCGCGGGGCACCTCAATCATGGTGCCCACCATGAAGGGAACCGTCACCCCGGTCTTAGCGGCCACGTCGGCAATGACACGGCGGATAATCTCCTCCTGGTGCTCGAACTCCTGTGGGATGGGAAGCCAGAGAGATGGTGGCATTAGTTAGAAGAGGGCAGTAGTAGCAGAGATGGTTGCTTTGTGGACTTGCACTGGTTCATTTATATTTTCTTCCAGGCCTTGCAATCCCATTGCCCTCTTCCCTCACCCTCAAGACCCGAGACTTGCCTGGGTGGTTCCGACGAGCGGCACCATGATCTCGGGGTGCACCTTCTTGCCCTCCTTCTGCACGGCGCTCGCAGCCTCGAAGATGGCGCGCACCTGCATCTCCGACAGGTCCTCGTACCCGATGCCCAGCCTGCACGCACCACACAACCAAGAACGGTTAAAGCTTCCGGAACATCAGACCTCACAACGAATGCACTGCGAAGCACAGCGTTTTGGAAACATTGTCGCAGTGAGAAACAGGAGAGAAAGCGTACCGGCAGCCGCGGAAGCCGAGCATGGGGTTGACCTCCTGCAGCTCCTCGATGCGGTTGAGGATGTCCTCCTTCTTCACGCCCACGTCGCGCACCAGCTCGTCCACCACGTGGTCCGCGTGCACGTGGTCCGCGCCGTGGATGTTGGGCAGGAACTCGTGCAGCGGCGGGTCCAGCAGGCGGATGGTGACGGGCAGCCCGTCCATGGAGCGGAAGATGCCCTCGAAGTCCGACCGCTGGTACGGCAGCAGCTGCTCGATCGCCGCGTGCCGCTGCTCGGGGTTGGTGGCGAGAATCATCTCGCGCACCTTCATGATGCGCTCGTCCGACGCGAAGAACTGCAAGCAAGGGGGCAGCGGGGAAGGGCGGGGCGTGGTGTTAGGCACGAAGAAGGACGGGCTTCAGAAAGAACAAGAGCAGCAAGTGAATGAATGAAATAAACGAGCAATGCCCTGGACTCACCATGTGCTCCGTGCGGCAGAGGCCGATACCCTGAGCGCCCTTCTCCCTGGCGGCGGTAGCATCCTCGGGGGTGTCAGCATTGGCCATGACGCGGAGCTCCCGCGTCTCGTCCACCCACTTCATGAATGCGCCCAGGTCGCCACTGATGGACGGCGGCGACAGCTTCTGCTGGCCGGTAATGACCTCGCCGGTGGTGCCGTTGAGCGAGATCCAGTCGCCCTCCTTGAGCTTCTTGCCGCCCAGCTCCATGGTGCGATGCACCTCGTCGATGTGCAGCTCCGAGCACCCCGCAATGCAGCACTTGCCCCACCCGCGGGCCACCACGGCGGCGTGGGAAGTCATACCGCCGCGCGCGGTGAGGATACCGGAGGCGGCGTGCATGCCACCGACGTCCTCGGGGGAGGTCTCCATGCGCACCAGGATGGTGTCCTTGCCCTGCGCCTTCCACGACTCCGCGTCCTCGGGGTGGAACACCACCTGCCCGACAGCAGCGCCGGGGGAGGCGGGCAGGCCCGTGCCGAGCACGTCGGTCTTGTACGCCTTGGGGTCGGCGAACTGGGGGTGCAGCAGCTGGTCCAGGTGGCGGGGCTCCACCATGAGGATCGCCTGCTGGGGCGTCACGAGCCCCTCGGCGACCATGTCGACGGCGATCTTCACGGCGGCGAGGCCGGTACGCTTGCCCGTGCGGCACTGAAGCATCCAGAGCGCGCCCTCCTGCACAGTGAACTCAATATCCTGCATCTCCTTGAACTCTTTCTCCAGAATCTCGCAGTTCTTGCAGAGCTCCTCGTACGCCTGGGGGAGCACCTTCTTCATCGTGTCGATGTCCTCGGGCGTGCGGATACCCGCCACCACGTCCTCGCCCTGCGCGTTGATGAGGTACTCGCCGTACAGCTTGCGCTCGCCGTTGGACGGGCTGCGAGTGAAGAGCACGCCAGTGCCGGAGTTGTCGCCCATGTTGCCGAAGACCATGGCCTGCACGTTGACAGCCGTGCCCTTGAGGCCAGAAATCTTGTTGATGGTGCGGTACTTGATGGCGCGGTTGCTGTTCCACGAGTTGAACACCGCCATCACCGAGTGCTTCAGCTGCTCCTTGGGGTCTGTGGAAGAATATTAGGGGGAAAACGCAATGAGTACGTAAAAATATAAAAAAACACGGATACATCCATTGGAAATGCCGAGCATTTGCTGCAAGAACATCTTATTGTCGTTTTTTTCAATGTTGGAAGACTGTTGGGGAGAGACAAGTGCTTACCGGAGGGAAACTCCGCTCCAGTGGCCTTCTGGTAGACTTCCTTGTACTTAGTGACAAGCGTCTTAAGGTCCTCATTGTCGAGCTCCGTGTCGACCTTCACACCCTTGGCCTTCTTGAGCGCAGAGAGTTCCGCCTCGAAGAGAGAGTGCGACACGTTCATCACGACGTCGCCGAACATGTCGATGAAGCGACGGTACGAGTCATACGCGAATCGCTCGTTACTCTTCTTCGCGAGGCCAACGACCACAGTGTCATTGAGACCCAAGTTGAGCACGGTGTCCATCATACCAGGCATGGAGACCTGAACGAACAAGAATGGAAGCCTGTAAAGGTTAGACTCCGTGGTATGAACATTTCGAACACGAAACAAAGCTCCGAAAGCTTCAAAGAGCTCGAGCAATGCCAGAAAAAAACATGAGGTGAACCAGAGTAACTTACAGCGGCACCAGAGCGGACAGAGACGAGAAGAGGATTCTCGGGGTTGCCAAACTCGAAGCCGGTGTTCTTCTCAACGGTCTTCATGCCGTCGAGAATCTCCTGCCACAGCTCATCGGTGAGCTTCCCACCGCTCTTGTGGAAGTCTTCGCAAGCCTCGGTGGTGACGGTCAGGCCAGGAGGCACTGAGAGGCCGATGCGAGACATTTCGGCAAGGTTGGCTCCCTTCCCGCCGAGCTGCACGAGGAGACATGGTAAGTCAGAACTCGTCGAAGCAAGTCCTGTAGAACATTATTAAAGCATGCGAGTCGCTTCTCTTACCAGTTGCTTGAGCGACTTGTCTCCAGCGCTGTAGCCCTTGCCGAAGACCCATACCCTCTGCAATAATATCATGAGAGACGGTAAGCGTTGTGATACAAACATAGAAAACGTTGGTCGCATTCGTGATGCTACTCACAGCTTGAGCGGCGGCCATGATGGAACGAGTTGGAAAGAAGATAGCTGAATCTGAAAAACGTTGTGCGTAGAAACTAACTGAAAGG